TGGAGAGCAGAATACAGAAAAAAGAATGAAAAGAACTGAGGACAGTCTCAGAGAGCTCTGGGACAACATTAAACGCAACAACATTCGAATTATAGGGGTTCCAGAAGAAGAAGAGAAAAAGAAAGGGACTGAGAAAATATTTGAAGAGATTATAGTTGAAAACTTCCCTAATATGGGAAAGGAAATATTTAATCAAGTCCAGGAAGCACAGAGAGTCCCATACAGGACAAATCCAAGGAGAAATACACCAAGACACATATTAATCAAACTCTCAAAAATTAAATACAAAGGAAGCATATTAAAAGCAGCAAGGGAAAAACAACAAATAACACACAAGGGAATCCCCATAAGGTTAACAGCTGATCTCTCAGCAGAAACCCTGCAAGCCAGAAGGCAGTGGCAGGACATACTGAAAGTGATGAAGGAGAAAAACCTGCAACCAAGATTACTCTACCCAGCAAGGATCTCATTCAGATTTGATGGAGAAATTAAAACCTTTACAGACAAGCAAAAGCTGAGAGAGTTCAGCACCACCAAACCAGCTTTACAACAAATGCTAAAGGAACTTCTCTAGGCAAGAAACACAAGAGAAGGAAAAGACCTACAATAACAAACCCAAAACAATTTAGAAAATGGGAATAGGAACATTCATATCGATAATTACCTTAAATGTAACTGGATTAAATGCTCCCACCAAAAGACACAGATTGGCTGAATGGATACAAAAACAAGACCCATATATATGCTGTCTACAAGAGACCCACTTCAGACCTAGAGACACGTACAGACTGAAACTAAGGGGATGGAAAAAGATATTCCATGCAAATGGAAATCAAAAGAAAGTTGGAGTAGCAATTCTCATATCAGACAAAATAGACTTTAAAATAAAGACTATTACAAGAGACAAAGAAGGACACTACATAATGATCAAGGGATCAATCCAAGAAGAAGATATAACAATTGTAAATATTTATGCACCCAACATAGGAGCGCCTCAATACATAAGGCAAATACTAACAGCCATAAAAGGGGAAATCGACAGTAACACATTCATAGTAGGGGACTTTAACACCCCACTTTCACCAATGGCCAGATCATCCAAAATGCAAATAAATAAGGAAACACAAGCTTTAAATGATACATTAAACAAGATGGACTTAATTGATATTTATAGGACATTCCATCCCAAAACAACAGAATACACATTTTTCTCAAGTGCTCATGGAACATCCTCCAGGATACATCATATCTTGGGTCACAAATCAAGCCTTGGTAAATTTAACAAAATTGAAATTGTATCAAGTATCTTTTCCGACCACAAAGCCATGAGACTAGATATCGATTACAGGAAAAGATCTGTAAAAAATACAAACACATGGAGGCTAAACAATACACTACTTAATAACGAACTGACCACTGAAGAAATCAAAGAGGAAATTTAAAAATACCTAGAAACAAATGACAATGGAGACACGACGACCCAAAACCTATGGGATGCAGCAAAAGCAGCTCTAAGAGGGAACTTTATAGCAATACAAGCCCACCTTAAGAAACAGGAAACATCTCGAAAAAACAACCTAACCTTGCACCTAAAGCAATTAGAGAAAGAAGAACAAAAAAACCCCAAAGGTAGTAGAAGGAAAGAAATCATAAAAATCAGATCAGAAATAAATGAAAAAGAAATGAAGGAAACGATAGCAAAGATCAATAAAACTAAAAGCAGTTCTTTGAGAAGATAAACAAAATAGATAAACCATTAGCCAGACTCATCAAGAAAAAAAGGGAGAAGACTCAAATCAACAGAATTAGAAATGAAAAAGAAGTAACAACTGACACTGCAGAAATACAAAAGATCATGAGAGATTACTACAAGCAACTCTATGCCAATAAAATGGACAACCTGGAAGAAACGGACAAATTCTTAGAAATGCACAACCTGCCAAGACTGAATCAGGAAGAAATAGAAACTATAAACAGACCAATCACAAGCACTGAAATTGAAACTGTGATTAAAAATCTTCCAACGAACAATAGCCCAGGACCAGATGGCTTCACAGGCGAATTCTATCAAACATTTAGAGAAGAGCTAACACCTATCCTTCTCAAACTCTTCCAAAATATAGCAGAGGGAGGAACACTTCCAAACTCATTCTACGAAGCCACCATCACCTTGATACCAAAACCAGACAAGGATATCACAAAGAAAGAAAACTACAGGCCAGTATCACTGAGGAACATAGATGCAAAAATCCTCAACAAAATACTAGAAACAGAATCCAACAGCACATTAAAAGGATCATACACCATGATCAAGTGGGGTTTATCCCAGGAATGCAAGGATTCTTCAATATATGCAAATCAATCAAGGTGATAAACCATATTAACGAATTGTAGGAGAAAAACCATATGATCATCTCAATAGATGCAGAGAAAGCTTTTGACAAAATTCAACACCCATTTATGATAAAAACCCTGCAGAAAGTAGGCATAGAGGGAACTTTCCTCAACATAATAAAGGCCATGTACGACGAACTCACAGCCAACATCATCCTCAGTGGTGAAAAACTGAAAGCATTTCCACTAAGATCAGGAACAAGACAAGGTTGCCCACTCTCACCACTCTTATTCAATATAGTTTTCGAAGTTTTAGCCACAGCAATCAGAGAAGAAAGGGAAATAAAAGGAATCCAAATCAGAAAAGAAGAAGTAAAACTGTCACTGTTTGCAGATGACATGATACTATACATAGAGAATCCTAAAGATGCTACCAGAAAACTACTAGAGCTAATCAATGAATTTGGTAAAGTAGCAGGATACAAAATTAATGCACAGAAACCTCTGGCATTCCTATACACTAATGATGAAAAATCTGAAAGTGAAATCAAGAAAACACTCTCATTTACCATTGCAACAAAAAGAATAAAATATCTAGGAATAAACCTACCTAAGGAGACAAAAGACCTGTATGCAGAAAATTATAAGACATTGATGAAAGAAATTAAAGATAATACAAATAGATGGAGAGAGATACCATGTTCTTGGATTGGAAGAATCAACACTGTGAAAGTGAGTCTACTACCCAAAGCAATCTACAGATTCAATGCAATCCCTATCAAACTATCACTGGCATTTTTCACAGAAATAGAACAAAAAATTTCACAATTTGTATGGTAACACAAAAGACCCCGAATAGCCAAAGCAATCTTGAGAACGAAAAACGGAGCTGGAGGAATCAGGCTCCCTGACTTCAGACTATACTACAAAGCTACAGTAATCAAGACAGTATGGTACTGGCACAAAAACAGAAAGATAGATCAATGGAACAGGATAGAAAGCCCAGAGATAAACCCACGCACATATGGTCACCTTATCTTTGATAAAGGAGGCAGGAATGTACAGTGGAGAAAGGACAGCCTCTTCAATAAGTGGTGCTGGGAAAACTGGACAGGTACATGTAAAAGTATGAGATTAGATCACTCCCTAACACCATACACAAAAATAAACTCAAAATGGATTAAAGACCTAAATGTAAGGCCAGACACTATTAAACTCTTAGAGGAAAACATAGGCAGAACACTCTATGACATAAATCACAGCAAGATCCTTTTTGACCCACCTCTTAGAGAAATGGAAATAAAAACAAAAATAAACAAATGGGACCTAATGAAACTTAAAAGCTTTTGCACAGCAAAGGAAACCATAAACAAGACCAAAAGACAACCCTCAGAATGGGAGAAGATATTTGCAAATGAAGCAACTGTCATAGGATTAATTTCCAAAATTTACAAGCAGCTCATGCAGCTCAATAACAAAAAAACAAACAACCCAATCCAAAAATGGAGAAATAGACATTTCTCCAAAGAAGATATACAGACTGCCAACAAACACATGAAAGAATGCTCAACATCATTAATCATTAGAGAAATGCAAATCAAAACTACAATGAGATATCATCTCACACCAGTCATAATGGCCATCAACAAAAAATCTAGAAACAATAAATGCTGGAGAGGGTGTGGAGAAAAGGGAACACTCTTGCACTGCTGGTGGGAATGTGAATTGGTACAGCCACTATGGAGAACAGTATGGAGGTTCCTTAAAAAACCACAAATAGAACTACCATACGACCCAGCAATCCCACTACTGGGCATATACCCTGAGAAAACCATAATTCAAAAAGAGTCATGTACCACAATGTTCATTGCAGCTCTATTTAAAATAGCCCAGAGATGGAAACAACCTAAGTGCCCATCATTGGATGAATGGATAAAGAAGATGTGGCACATATTTCAATGGAATATTACTCAGCCATAAAAAGAAACGAAATTGAGCTATTTGTAATGAGGTGGATAGACCTAGAGTCTGTCATACAGAGTGAAGTAAGTCAGAAAGAGAAAGACAAATACCGTATGCTATATGGTATATATGGAATTTAAGAAAAAAAATGTCATGAAGAACCTAGGGGTAAGACAGGAATAAAGACACAGACCTACTAGAGAACGGACTTGAGGATATGGGGAGGGGGAAGGGTGAGCTGTGACAAAGCGAGAGAGAGGCATGGACATATATACACTACCAAACGTAAGGTAGATAGCTAGTGGGAAGCAGGCACATAGCACAGGGATATCAGCTCGGTGCTTTGTGACCGCCTGGAGGGGTGGGATAGGGAGGGTGGGAGGGAGGGAGATGCAAGAGGAAAGAGATATGGGAACATATGTATATGTATAACTGATTCACTTTGTTATAAAGCAGAAACTAACACATCATTGTAAGGCAATTATACCCCAATAAAGATGTTTAAAAAAAAAAGCGCTCAAGCAAAGGTCTACGTCTGTGGGGAGTCTCGCTCTCTCCTGCACACCTCGCACGGATCTCAGCCTGTCCCTGGCGACCTGCTCTCTCCTGCCACTCCTCACTCATCTGCCGTGTTCCAGTCACACTCGGCCACAAGCATGTCACCTTCAACTGTCCCCTCCCCACACCTCCTGTCTGTGCCTCACCTGCTTCGTTCACTTGGCTGCACAGACGTTCACGCTGCTCCATCCCCGTCACCGTCGGCGGATTCCTGTCTCTCCCGGAAATCTGAACAGGCTTCTAGTTGCCTCCGGGCCTCCGGTCTCTTCCATTTCCCAGCGTCCTCCAGACTTTTGAAGGAGCAATTTATCTGAAATAGAATTCTGGTTGTCACATGCCTGCTAGAAAGAGGGAAGGACCCAGACTGTGATGTTTCGTATCTTTCTTAATCTCTTGTGGCATCCTCACCGCACCCCCTCATTCCCAGCGGTCACACGGGTTTCCTTGCTGCTGCTTGTATGAGGGAACTCCCATTCCCACCTGGCAAGCTTCCCTGTTCACTAAGGCCTGTAAAGCTTTTCCTCATGCTCCCAGCCTGTCTCTGTAGCTTCTTCCTCTTCTAGCTTTAGTGCTGTGACCCAGTAAAACAAATGCCTCAGAGACGGCACTTGGTTACTCTTCAATCTATTTCTCCACTGCTGTGACAAAGCACAAGCAACAACAACAAAAAAAATGGATCAGTTGGACCATGTCAAAACTTAAAACCTTAGTGTTTCAAAAGGCACAACGGAGTAAAAAGACAACCCATAGGATGGGGGAAATATTGCAAGCCTGTACCTGATAAGGGGCTGATATCCAGGATATAAAAGGAACTACTACAACTCAACAAAAAGACAACCTGATTTTAAAACGAGCAAAGGACCTAAGTGTCCACTGACAGATGAATGGATAAAGAAGATGTAGCACATATATACAATGGAATATTACTCAGCCATGAAAAGAAATGAAACTGAGTTATCTGTGGTGAGATGGATGGACCTAGAGTCTGTCATACAGAGTGAAGTAAGTCAGAAAGAGAAAAATACCGTATGTTAACACATATATATGGAATCTAAAAAAAAAACAAAAAACAAAAAACAGATCTGAAGAACTAGGGGCGGGACAGGAATAAAGACGCAGAGGTAGAGAATGGACTTGAGGATATGGGGAGGGGGAAGGGTAAGCTGGGACAAAGTGATAGAGTGGCATGGACATATATACACTACCAAATGTAAAATAGATAGCTAGTGGGAAGCAGCCGCATAGCACAGGGAGATCAGCGCGGTGCTTTGTGTCCACCTAGAGGGGCGGGATACAGAGGGTGGGAAGGAGGGGGACACAAGAGGGAGGGGATATGGGGATATATGTATATGTATAGCTGATTCACTTTGTTATAAAGCAGAAACTAACACAACAATGTAAAACAATTATACTCCAATAAAGATGTTAAAAAAATAAGTAAATAAAATGAGCAAAGGACTTGAATAGACATTTCTCCAAAGAAGATGTATAAATGGCCACTAAGCACAAGAAAAGATGCTCAGCATCACTGATCACCAGGGCAAAGCACAACTACAACTACGAGACGCCCCCTCACACCCACCAGGATGGCCACCAACCAAAAACAAACCAACAAAAATCGCAGTAAGTGCTGGTGAGGGTGTGGAGAAATTGGCACCCTTATGCACCGTCGGCAGAAACATAAAATGGTACAGCCGTGGTGGAAAACATTATGGTAGCTCCTCAAATTTTTTAAAAAGAATTACCCTACGATCCAGCAATTCTACTGGGTATGTACCCCAAAGAACTGAAAGCGAGGTCTCCATGAGACATGTATACGTGTTCGTAGCAGCATTACTCACAATAACCAAAAACTGGAAGCAAACCAAGTGTATACCCACTGATGTATAAACAGAATGTGGTCCATACATACACCAGACTATGATTCAGCCTTAAAAAGAAGGAAACTCTGAAAGGAAGGAAAAAATTCAGGAAATTCAATGTGGCTGAACCTTGAGGATGTAATACTAAGTGAAATAAGCCCGTCACAAAAGGGCAAATGCTATAAGATCTCTACTCACATGAGGTGCCTGGAGAGGTCAAATGCACAGAGGCAGGAAGTAGACGGTGGGGGCCAGGGGCTCCGGGAGTGGGGAGGGGAATGAAGGGGAAGCTAGTGTTTAATGGGGACAGAGTTTCAGTTTGGGACGATGGAAAGTTCTGGAGATGGGCGGTGACGATGGCCACACAACGCTGTGAATATACCTAATGCCGCTTAACTGTACACTTAAAAGTAGCTAAAATGGGAAGTTATATGTGTATTTCACAATTTTTAAAAAAGAGAAAAAGGAGACAACGCTAGTTAAGCCAGTGAGCGCTGAAGAGGAGATCGGAAAGATTCTATCGTGGGCACCTTCTTCTGTCCTCGAGACCGTCACTGAACGCTCTTAAACCAAGTTTTCAAAACCACAAATCCACAAAGAATTAAATTATAACCAAATGCATCAGAGTGTGCGCGCGTGCACGTCCACATTCTCCTGTAGCTTCCATCACATCTGAAAAGGGTTTTGACCCAGAAAAGAGCCAGCATTTACTGTGCTAAACCAAAGAACAATGGCTGGAGAAGCAGTTCTGGAGAGACAGAAGGAGGCCCTCTGAATAGCTGCTGGCCCACAAAAGCAACGAGAACCCAGACATCAGTGGCCAAAACTAACTTTCAGACTTTGGAGGCTGGGCTGTCTGCCCACTGAGCTGCGTAGGGCTTTGGTGTTAGGTTGCAAAGCTCTAGGGCTTCTGAGGTTATGCATCTAGATCTTAGAGGCCAAGGTGACACAGAGACCGTCACTGCTGGAAAGGGGGCGCTGCGGGGGTAGGGGAGGAGGCCCTGTGGAGAGGGGCAGCTCACCTCCGTGACTCAGCCCAAGTCACCCGGTTAGGGACGGCAGCCCTGCCTGAAACAGCGCTGCAGGCGCCCAGCACCGGGAGGGCCCGCCTGCCCAGGGTGCAGGCGTGAGAACCCGTCCCATAGACACACACGTCGGGACGGAGGCACGTGGGTCACAAAGCTCCGTCGTGTAACTGTTGGCTGCCTTCGGTGTGTTTGTTCTCTGACGTTTGGAGTGGCACGGGCTCCAAAGCTGGTCCCTGGGCCCCGGAAGGAAGGGGAGGAGGGGCTGGTGCCCTGGGGGGTGGTCCTGACGCGCAGGAAGGAGGGTGGGGATGCTTTCTCCACGCAGTGAGATGCTCTGTGAGAATTCCGTTACACAGCTGCCCGACGAGGCAGCGAGTTGGGAGGTAAGCACAGGATGACGCACGCTCCGTGGGCAACGTGTGATGACCTGGTGGTCCCAAGAAGCCACGGCAGCCAAAGCACCCGGCCCCTCCCGAGGGCAGCGCGGGCAGCCCTGCTCGGGTCCCCACGTGCCCACAACTTCCAACTGGGACCTTCCGCGGGGCCGGTGCCCACCCGAAAGCAGCCTGCGCGGCTCCTGGCCTCCTTTCCATCACTGGGCAGGGGAAACGTGCCTCCATTCGCGTCCTGGGGATGTGCAGAGGCTTCAGGGAAGCAGGTGGGTCTCTGCAGACGGGCTGCACCGCCCTGGCTGTAGGGGGCCTCACGGCTCCGTTCCCGGTGTCGCGTCCCATCAGTGTGACAGGAGCATCACACCGGACGTACTGCACATCTCCCGGGTCCTCGTCCCTCTGACACCGAGCAGAGGACTGTCCCCACGAGCGTACAGCGGCCTCCTGCTTCCCTCTGGGCCTCGGGCCGTGAGCGGAACAGAGAAGGAGATGCATCTGACCTCTGCTGCCTCCCTGACCCCAGGCGGTCAGGCTCAAGGGCACCGCAGAGCCCAGAGCCCGTGTGGAGAAGCCCGGAGAGTTCTGAGAAGGAGGCAGCTGCCTTGCTGTGCGCAATCTGGGGAAATGACGGGATTTTCTAAGGTCGTTACTGAGACCCACGGATCCATCTTAACAAGAACAACAGAACAGGCCCTCCTCGCAGTCACGTCTTGAGCGCGACCTTCCAGAATTCGAGACCTAAACTCCAGCATCACCTGCACCTTACACTAACTCGCCGCCAGTGTGACACGCCGGACAGGTGTGTCAGAGACGGGCGTGGCTTGTATTGGCACGGATTGACGCTGCTAACGTGTTGTTTGAGCACCATTTGCACACTTTCCGAGCGGTAGTCTCTTCTCTCTGATGATTTTATTTCAGCACCTGCCCTGGAGAGGTAATGGTGGACAGAGCACGGGGCACTTCCCCTGAAATTGCTAAAAGAAAAAAAAAAAAAAACCCAATAAACGGCCCCAGCTGTCCTGAACGCCCCCAGCTGTCCTGATTATTTTTAGTCGGGATTTATCACTGGTAAACTTTGTTTTGCGTACGCATGTAAGATACTTGGGTTTTATTTCAATTTACCATTTCCGGATTTTTTCCTAATGCAGAAATTAGGTATGACTGTCGTCATCGCCATCACCTGGTGTCATATGGCAACAGAATGAAGATGATGCCGATCTTGGATTGTGGACAGTGACACTTCTCTTCCTTAGAATAATGTCCTTTTCTATGGAAAGTTATCTAGAGAAGGAATGATAGTGTGCTAATTATGTTGGCACCTAGACACACACACACACACAATTTTCCCCAGAAAAACGCTTGAACGTTTGAAAGCCGCTGCCTGTATATAATACGAAACAAAGTTATTTTCTGAGTGTGGATACAATATATCAGAGTTTAAGAACTGGTGACAAGATAGCACAATTCACAGCTCTTTTTCACAGCTGGTAAAGCTCATTTCAACAGCCCAGGAAAACTAGCAACAGTTGCTCCGGGATCAGTGAAGCGCAGGAAACAAAAGCAGCCTCTTTGGAATAATACCTCAACATGAAGCACGGAAGAGGGGGCATAACCGCTAATCCTGAACACAGTCACATCACCAGCTTTCAGCACACACTGACGAACTTACAGATGCTATAGCCAACTGCCCAGTTAACAGCCCCGGTTAGACTCCCCGAGAAGCGCCTGCAAGAACAGTGCTTGTCCCGAAAGAAGAGCCACAGAAACCGCAGGGACCATGCACTTCAAGGGTCAGTGAACAGCTCGGAGCAGGGAGCCCTGGCGGAGGGCACAGCCCCTGTGAGGGGAGGGCTGCAGGGCGCCCCCCGCCCCCGCAACGCCCGGGCAAGGCGTGTCATTCACGGAGAAGCCCCAAATGAGAAAATTCTGCCTGAAGCCAACGTTACCTGATGCTTCCAAAACCACAAACTGGTAGAGGTGGCGCAGAGTCATTGGTCCCGAGCTGCAGTGTCCCTGTGCAGTTGGTACCCAACCAGGCTCCTCTGGGCTGACGCACAGCAAGCCAAACGCCGAGACGCCCGGGTCTGTTGGCCAGGCAGCTAAGCCAGGAGAGAGGAGGGCAAACCTCAGCTCTGGCGTCCCGGAAGGGAAGGGGCTCGGGGTATTTACGCGATAACGAATAAAGAAGCAGGGCCACCTGAGGCGTGGGGAGCGCGGGGAAAGGTGATGATTGGAGAAAGCTGCGGGACTCCTTCTGCGCAGGCGCAGGCGCAGCTGGGCTACAGGCCGCTGCACGGTCTAAAGGGCGCTGGGCGGGCCCTCGCGCAGGCCCGGCTCGGGAATCGGTGGTCCCATCCGGCCGCAACCAGTTCAGCTCCAACTGGACGCAGCTGATTCCAAGCTGCTGGGAAACAACCCGGGCAAACAGCCTATTGCTTAGGCTGCGTGCTGCCTGGTGGACACGCAAGTCTTAACTGACCTTGATTAGGGCAGGTGAAAAGGATTTGACTCGTGACCCACGGACTCGCAGTCAGATGTCTGAGCTGCAGGTGGCCTGTGGCGGCTGTACGGTCATGGGGTGTCTGGGCATCCCCCTCCACCCAAGTCCACGACCTGCCGCTGGTACCCCAGGCGTTCTCCGGGACCCTGGGCGCTCACCAGTCGGCCTGGAAGTGGAGTCCAGGCCCAGGCTGCAGGCAGGGACGCGGCCCCGGGGCGGAGGGCGAATCTGCCGGTTGGGATCTCGAGTTTTCCTTAGTCCCCAGCTGTTTCCTCACCCCAAGGAGCCCTGTGATAGGGACTCGACGATCGATCACCAACGCGGGCAGGGTCCCCGAGCAGGTCCTGGGCGAGCGAGGCCTCTCCTGCCCGCCCCCGGGTCCCCAGCTCCGGAGCACGAGGCGGCGGCCGGGAGGAATGAGCCGGACTGAGCCGAGAGCCGGCGGGCGCTGCCCGGGGCGGGGTGGCCCCCAAGTGCCCGCCGCCGCTCTCAGGCCGGGCTCCCTTCGCGGGCCGCAGCGCTGACCCAGGCCTGCGTCCTCACCCAGCCACCGCCCCCGCGCCCGCCCCTGCAGCTCCCGGCGCGCGACCCCCGCGGGCGGCCGTCCCCCGGAACGCAGGCTCCGCGCGCCCCCTGCCGGCCGGCCGAGCGCGCAGCCCGCAGGCGCCGAGCCCGCCCGCGCGCCGCTCGCCCACGGCCTCTGGACGGGCCCCGGCGTAGCCTCGCTGTGACCCCGGCCCTCGGCTCCCGGGGTCTCGGACGGGGCCCGGCGGAGGCCCGCCCGCCCGCTCGCCCCGGGCTCCGCGCCTCAGGGCCGCCGAGGCCCACCTACCCCTCCAGGTGCGGGGGCTGCGCCGCCCCCGGGGCGGTGGGAGCGGACGGCGCAGGCGCAGACGGGGCTCACCCCGGCCCCCGCCCCCCGCAGCCACCCGGTGACCCCGCGTCCGGTTCACGCGGCCTGCGCTCCCGGGGAGCCTCGGCCCACCCATCACTTTCCCACGGACTAGAGCCCGCCCACCTCCAGCGCCTGGAAACCTGTTTCGCAGAGATTTTTCAGGTGGTAGTTTGGGAAACTTGAAATGCAAATGGCCAGGCATCCTTCCAGCTCTTTGGTTAAAAAAAAAGAATTCTAGTCGTTCTGAATAACACCAGCTTCAGTTTACTGACAACCGCAGGCCAGGAGATTCCACCGACGTTCACATCACCGTTCCCTCTGGGTTAGTCTCTGCCTCACGAAGGAGGAACTTGGGCCCTGAGAGGTTACTTAGGACACTTGCCCCAGGACACACAGCAGGCCCATCTGACTCTGAAGCCTGTGGCCTGCACGTGGTGCCTGGCCTCTCTGTCCTCACGGCCTCTCCTTGTCGGAATCGTTCTCTCCGGGAGGCCAGGGGACGGGATGGCTGGTCCAGGGCCAGCCCAGCTCCTCTGAGAAGCTCCCGGCCCGCCAGCCACAGCAGGTGTCAAACCATTCTTGCTGGTTGGATTTGTACCTCACTTGCTGACCATCGGACCTGCATCTGGCCACTCGGTCCTGGGAGGTGGGGTAGCGTGTGCCAGTGAGCGACGGATCCCCGCCGGCAGAAAGCCCGCCACTCTCCCCAGGGTGTTCTTAGGAAATTTACCCTCCGTGACCGGCAGGATATTTTGGTAAAACCAAGCTGTCTATAGTAAAGGTGGCTTCGTCAGGACGAACTGTGGTCGAACCCAAGTCCGTGTGCCTGACGCACAGTGAGGCTGAGCAAAGTTTGGAGCAGAGAAAGGTTTATTGCAGGGGCCAAGGAAGGAGAACGGGCAGCTCACACTCAAAAAGCCAGAAGTACCCAATGGTTTTCAGGGAAGGGTTTTTCTAGGCCAAACTGGGGAGAGGGCTGCACCTCCCCCTTGCCATTAAGCTGCATTTTGCGATTTTCTAAAATTAAAGGCCTTCAGTGGCATGGGTGAACCCCTGAGAGACACAGCAGCACTTGCCTGGGTTTCGAGAGGGAGCTAGCCACTCAGCCCCACTCTGCACCGGGCTCCTCCGGGCGTGTGCAGCCGGCCCCATGGCCTTTCCCTGACCAGAGAGCCAACAGCAGGCCCGCGGACGGCTGCTGGCGCCTCCCGGCTCTCCCGAGGTGGATGTTGGGAGAATCCGGGCTCTCAGAGATGCCTGAGGAAGGGGGCAGCCCTGCAGGGTCCGGTGGTGCTGCGGCCGCCCCCTTCCCAGGAGCGCAGAGGACACGGTGGGCCCAGCTCCTGTTCCCTCCAGAAGCAGCCTGGCTGCTGGAGCTGCCTCCTGCAGAGGACGGGGTGGGAGGGGCACGGCCTGCTCCCCGAGCCACAGGCTTCTGCACCCCCGGGAGGGCTTCTCTGTCCTGTGGCCGCCCTGCAGCCCCGGTACCTTCTTCCTCCCCCCACGCCCAGATCATTCCCTGATAGGAAACCCTGCTTTAGGGACTGAGCTGCATCACTGCCTCCCATCCCCCGGCCCTAACTTACCGCCAGTGCCTCCGAATGGGACCTAATTTGGAGGTCTTTTCTTCATCACCACAGATGAGCAAGTGAAGTTGAGCTCGTTAGGGTGGGTCCTAATCCAGTGGGAGGGGTGTCCTCATGGAAAGGGGAAAGGTGGACACAGACAGGCAGGCACACGGGGACGATGCCGTTTGAAGGTCGGAGTTCTGCTGCCCCAACCAAGGGACCACCAAACGCTGGAGGAGGCTTTCAGATCCCTCCCTGCAGCCTTCAGGAGCCTGGCCCCGCCGACGCTTCTATACGGACTTCGGCCTCTAGAATCGGGAGAGCACACGTGTCTGTTGTTTAAGCTGCCCGGTTTGCGGCACTGTGTTAACAGCAGCCCCAGGCAACTAGTACCCCTGCCATTCTTTTTTACAAATAATGCAACGAAAGTTCAGAAAGACCGGCAGAGCACCGGGTCCCGCCGCCAGAGCACACGGTGGAGCCATGCTCACCCCGATCCAGAAAGGCAGCCCACCAGGGCTGCTGCCACCTCTGCACCCCGTCCGCCGGGCCCCCTCCTTTGCCCGCCCCGCCCCCCCCGCCCCGCTCTCCTATTCCCACCGGGCTGGGCCCCACTGAGCTGTGGGTTCAGCAGGACTGCTCTGGGGAGAGGGTAAAAGGGGGAGAGAGAGAGGAGAGAGAGAATCTTACTCTTCCAGACAGAGGAGCTCAGCACTGAAACTCTTCGGTAACTGACACTTTATACAAACGGAACTTTCAAGCCGTTGATTAGGTCCTAGTGATTGAATAACTGAAGACACATTTGCTGGGTTTGGCTGAAGTGCCCACAGCTGCGTGCTGTGAGACTGAGGAAGCCTGAAGAGTTTCGCACGAGACCGAGCATTGCTGAGAGGCTGTTACCCCGGAGCAGGGAGGCCCCACCCACCGTTCATGGCCTTTGACTTGCACGGGGCTCCCCGGACAGCCTGCTGCCAGTTAGTGAGCTCAGTAAAGCTCCAGAGAAGCTCCAGCCCCTCAAAGTGCTCTCCCCCTCCCCCAGCACAGCAGAGGGTCCGCCTGCGGGGTGGGATTCCCAAGGCTTGGGAGCAAGTGGTGGTCCCGCCTCCGGGGGCAACTCCCCACACCATGTCCTGCCAGCTCCGCCTGTCCCCTTCTGCCGCTCACAGCCCAGCGCTGGCCCTGTGCGGGGAGGGGAGGACAGGATGCAGAAGAAATCAACGCTTTCCCTGCCTCCAGGGGCTTGTCATCGGGTGGGCAGGGGTCGGGCTCTATTTCAGGAAGATCCCCGGAGCCACTGAAGACACAGGGCCACAACGGAGAATGTGGTTTTGTTCAACGCCCGTAACTCCTCCCTCTGCTGGCATCCTCCGGCCCTAGAAGCCCCGCCCCTTGATTTACCACATTAGCCAATGCTAAGGGTCCCCGGCCAGGAATCTCACCACTTCTAAGTGGCCCGAGAAGGGATTTCACACCTCGCTCCCATTCTGTTCTCAGGGGTGTGAGGCTGGTGGTAGTGGAAGCGTTTCTCCCACAGGAAGCAGCTGTAACTACAGATCATTGCTTCCCGAGCTTCCTTTCAGCTTCCTTTCAGAGATGCAGTTGACAGCCCACCCCCAAGACGATCACCGGAGTCCAGCTCAGTGGGTCATCTTCCTTCAGTGAATGATTGTCCTGACTTTTAGACAATATTCAGGTTTCTGTAAAAGTGGTTTGTTTAAAAGTCCGTTTAAAAGCCAGACATCTGATGTAATCCAAGCCCTACAGCTCTAACGATCTTCATGTCTTCGAAAGCAGAATGTGGAGGTAGTATTGGGCCCATTTCTTCACCAGTCAATGAATTTGCCATATCTTTATATGTTTCTATACCAAATATATTCATTAAAAAAATATACCCTCTTGGACTTCCCTGGTGGCGCAGTGGTTAAGAATCCATCTGCCAATGCAGGGGACACGGGTTCGAGCCCTGGTCCGGGAAGATCCAACACGCCGTGGAGCAACTAAGCCCGGGTGCCACAACTACTGAGCCTGCGCTCTAGAGCCTGCGAGCCACAACTACTGAAGCCCGCACGCCCAGAGCCCGTGCTCCGCAACAAGAAAAGCCCCTGTTCGCCACAAGTAGAGAAAGCCCGTGCGCAGCATCAAAGACCCAATACTGTCAAGAATCAAATAAATAAATTTATTTAAAAAACATACCCTCTCATCTACAAAGAGTCCTGGCAGTAAAATCCACTTGAACCAACCGGGTTCCATCAGCCTTTGGGTAAAAATGTGGTCTCATGAGTGGAAATAACCCACTGCCTTCTGAGGACGCCCTACTGAGTATGTGTGGGAGTCCAGGCCCCACACCGATGCTTCTGGGGGGTTGGCCAGCGTGACCAGACCTCAGGGTGATGTGGGAGCTGCAGGAAGTGGAGAAGCCCAAGATGAGCAGGCGGGGCCCAGGGCTGGGGTGCAGCCATGCTCTGGGGGCCCAGGCGTGTCCCTCCTTCTCTGCCGCCCCCAGCATGGAGCGCCCACCTGTGACCCGGGAGTCTGTTTGACCTTCAGGGACAAGAGAGTGGGAAGGAGAAGACAGATGGGCCTCTGGAGGATGTCGTGGGAGCTGCCACGCGGCAGCCTTGGGGACTCCTGCTTAGGTTCTATGGGGCGATATCATTCGGTGCGGTGCTTCCCAGACATGTGTGTGTTTGCGTGTGTACACGTGTACGTCGTCATCCTGGGGCTCTGGGGTCTACTTTACAAAGTGCCCGGCGGACTCTGATGTGCATCAGAGTTGAGGGTCTTCGATCTAGAGGGTGTGACCAGTTCAGGCTGTTCTGTTTCCCAATGTTACTCCCAGACTTGCAGTGGCCTCAGATCCCATCTGGGAAACATTAAAGACACAGCTTACGCTGCTTCAGGGGGTGCCGGGCAGGCTGATCCAACGAGAGGTTTCCTACAAGAGAGGCTTGAACTGAACAGGAATTGGAAGCAGCCACGGATTTGTCATTTGCTCGGAATCTAGACCTTGACACCGTTTCCAGCAGGCCTGGTTCTGTGTTGGCCAGGGGCTGTGCTTGGGGCCCAGTGCTGGTGCCCAGAGGACCGTGCTAGACCCAGGAGGGAGGCCTGCGCTTCGCTTATCATGAAAGAAAACAATGAGAGGGGAAAGCAACGTAGGGCTGTAGCTGCCTTGCTGTGTGATTTTGGGCAACTCCCTTGCCTTCTCAGGGCTTCTAATCCCCTATCTGTGTAGTGTGACTGATGAGGTTCAGATGGTGAATGGCTTTTTGGAGTTTGTGGTTTGCAGAAGGGAGCCCAGGCCTCTCAGGGCCAGCGCCCTGAGACCTGCCGGTCCAGACCTCCTGAGAAGCCCCACCCATGAAGCAGTGTCCCCGAGGCTGGGTCCTCTCCCTCCCACTTGCCCCCAGGGTCCCCACCTGCTCCTCGGCAGCTCTATTTTCTCTCTAGAATGCCTGCGTGAAGATTAGAACCACGTGTTACAGACTGAACGTGTGTCTCCCTCCCACCCCCATTCATATGTTGAAGCTCTAACTCCTGATATGATGGTTCTTGGAGATGGGCTTTTGGGAGGTGATTAGGGTTAGAAAAGGCTGTGAGGATGAGGCCCCCGTGATGGAATTAGTGTCCTTATAAGACAAGGAAAGACCAGAGCTCTCCCCCTTTCTGCTGGGTGAGGACACAGCCAGAGGGTGGCCATCCATGAACCAGGAAGAGGGTTCTCACTGGGAACCTAATTCACTGGCACCTTGAGCTTCAACTTCCAGCCTCCAGACTGTGAGAAATAAATTCCTGTTGTTTAAGCTGCCCAGTCTGCGGTGCTTTGTTATGCAGCCCTAGCTGACTGATGCACACCCAAATCAGAGCAAGCACAGTCTGCTTCCCCAGAGCTGGCTGGAGTGTGGGGGCCGACCACCCTCACGTGTGCTCCACGGAGACTGAAGGCAGACAGGGGAGCGGGACAGCTTCTCGGTGGGAGAGGGGCCTCAGGGGTGCCCTGGGGGCTGGGGCAGGGCTCTTACTGCCTAGGGGATGTGTTAGGTTTTCCCCAGTTGGTCCCAAGTTGGAAGTGCAGGCAGACATTAGGAAGCTGTCAAATGCTGGTCGAGTCCTGGCCGCCCGGGGCTGGTTGCTGCAGGTCGCGGGGCAGAGTTCTACTCGTATACACGGTCTGGATATCCTAAGTGTGTGTACCACGCACCAACAGGCTTCCTGTTCCTTCCTCTTGTGATTGTCCCGAGAGCTCACAGCCACATGCTGACAGAAGGATATATCTCTGAAATATCCTTCCAGCCTCTCTTGTGACACTGAGGTTTTTAACAGGGGCTTCGGGAAGGCAACTAATCCTTCACGAAATCATTTTTCTGGGACTGACAGGTCAGGCAAGAGAGGGAGGGGCAGCGTGTGTTCAGGCCAGGGGTACACACGCCGCCCTCCCCTGTGAACGAGGCAGCTGTGTCCCAGGAGATGCTGAGGAAGAGGGATGCCCCCGGGTTAGGGCTGTGCTCCCTGTACTGGGCTCTGGAGTTCCACAGCTTCATGGTCTTATTAAAACATTTTAAAACTAATTAAAAATGGAAACAAGCAACCACAGTCACATGTGTCACACACCTCACCTCACACACACAGGGCAGGTGCAGGCTCCGGGCTCTCCCAGGCCGGCTTCCCACTGCGTGGAACTGGGGCGGTCCCAGTGATCAAGGCCAGTGTCTGCTTTCAGGGCCGGTCCTGGCAGAAGGCGGCGGGAAGGAGGTGGCCTCCTTCCTGGGCGAGTGGGGAGAGGCCGGGGAGAGTTAGGGAATACCTCTATGGCTTCACCCTGAAACTTTTAAGACGAAACTCGAATTCTCTTTTCTGGTTGATTTGGGACTTTGATATATTTGACTGGTCCTATTCTTCCTACCATCAAGCCGCTGCTACCACAGATGCAGGTTTCATGTGCTGCCCTTGAGGACGCATCAATCAGTACTTGAATGCCTTCTTGAACATCTGTACACATTCTAAGGTGAGATGGTGGAGGATAAGCAAGAAAAGAGCTATCCAAGTGGTAAAATAATGTTTTATTCCATGGATGAACAAACACTACCATGCCACATCCTCACTCCCTCCTGCCAGATCCTGTGGCCAGAGCTGGCCTCCCTTTTCAGACTGAGTTGGCTTTGCAGTCGGTCGAGCCCATTGAAATAGCAAAAGCATGGCCATGTAGCGCTCAAGCGGTCCTGCTGGTCGGCACATTCATCCTTTTCCCAAACGGTGATGCATCCCCTGAAAAACAATCCTGTGACAGAGATCTTCCAATCGAACTAAGTACAACTGACATTCAAAGCTCGTGCAGATGAAGCCCAAACCCCCAAACACCAAAAGTGACATGGACGTATCTTCTCTGCTGATAAGAATGTCAGGGAGTCCCCCTTCCCAGGAGGACCGGGAGCTGGAGAAATCCGAACTGACACTCAGGCTGTCAACAAGCTCCAGAGGCGATGACGGTCGTCAATGTATTTCCAACAAGCACTTGTAGAGAGCAGCTCAGCCAGGCTGTGGCATGCAGGCAGAACACGACGAAAACCGGGCGGAGGGCAGGGGACGCGGCGCGACGCCATGACCGCATTCCCGTCTTTATATACAACAAGGTGAAATATACACGGGATGCTGGCTGTGCACCTGCTCAGAGGATGTCTTACAAGGCTAGGGACATCGACGACACTGCTTGCGTGCGGCACGGAGGGACAGAGCCACCCCAGGGTCGGGGTGACACCGGCGCCGGCCTCACTTGCCTCCAGGCTTCCTGTCACCCAGCACACGTGACAGACCTGGAGGTGGAGTCAACACTTTGTTCATGTTTTTTAACCAAACGTCACCTGAAAAGACTTGCCGGCTTATCAGGGAGGAAAAGGATGGGCGTAAGGGCGCAGGGAGATGCACAAGGCGACTCTAAGCCAGACCCTAATGCAGCTTTGGTGGGAGACAGGTTTCCTTTATGACTTTTTTTAGTGAAGAGTATTGGATGTTTTGTTCCCGCTCAGTGTTCTGAAATGTCTCCACAAAGTCTAATGATGACATTGAGGAGAGAGCAGTTACTTCTGATCTGTTTCTTTATCCAAACAAGTGCAAAGCCTACATACATACTGACTGAACGAAACAAAGCAAAACAAAGAAAAAAAAAAAAAAAAAAAGCACAGCAAAGCAACCCTATGACCAGAGACAGTGTCAGGTAAAAACCATAGAAAAATACGAATTAATTCCATAAGGTTAACCATTAGCGTAGCTACAGTAACACTTCGTACAGCCCCTTAAAATGCAGAATCTCCTAATTACAGAAAGGCGCGAGCCAATCTATGGACAAGTACTGGGAAAACAATTGTGCTCTAGTTGGTCCATGGCGCGGTGACATCAGATGGGGTATGATGCCCTGGAGTGGAAGCGGTACCCGGGCGGAGGCCGGGTCTCAACGCTACCGCTCGTGAGCTCGAATTCCAGGGCCAGCTTCTGCACGGCCATCCGTCCTTCGCTTTGTTCCTCGGGGAGGGGTCGCGGGGAGGTACCCGTCACTCCAGGGTGGCGACGGCTCCAGGCTCCGTGGAAGCCCTTGTGAGCGACGATGCATCTCCACCCGGGGAGGAGCTTGCTTCTGGAGCAAAACTGCCCTCAGGACCAGAAACACACATGCTGGGAAGGTGGCGCTTCCTGCCCCCACCCAGGCCCCTGAGGGAGAGCGAGGCGGGGCTCCCCAGTCGGTGTCCACTGGTCCAGCAGGCGCCGGGCGCGCTCCGGGCCGGCTCGGTCAGTCTTCCTCCTCGTCCTCTCTCGCTGTTACTGTCGGGAGTTTGTCCTGGACCCTGAAGCACTCCACGAAGAAGCCGATGAGGGCTCGGTACAGGTGCTGCCGCAGGGGGGCGCTGCTGAAGTAGTGGCTCTCGTCCGGGTATATCTGCAAGAGAGGCGTGAGGAGTTACCCCCGTGGCCGCCCTCCGCGTGGGCTGGGGCGCCGCTGAGACTCCGAGCACCACGGCCCGGGCTCCGCGCAGCCGGAAGCTCAGCCTGGAGGGCATCTCAGGGCTGCTTCTCGCGGCTTTGCCAGGTGGAGGGTGCCCTCAGCAAATCAGGGACGGAATCAGAAAACACATGGTTTAACAGACTCTGAACGCCTCGCTCGCTCCGCTTGTGTGAATTTGCAACAGGGATCCAGGCTCGGGGACCACCGAGGCAGCGAGCGGCCCAGGCCTCCAGGCATCAGGACTCCCGAAGAAAGGGGAAGAATTCCGTGCTGCCTCTATAACCTTGGTGAGTGTGGGGAAACCTTCGCTCCCACGGGCACCTGCGTTTAACTCACCGTGCGCCGTGCACAGGGGGCTTTCCTGGACCCCGGCCGTCAAATGCAGATGACCTCATCATAAAATCTGGCTCACTGAGCTATGTGAGAATTGAATGATGGAATACCTCTGAAATGCTTAGAACAAGGCCTGGGACTGAGGCAGGGCTGAAAAGACGGCAGCTAATCATTCCATCCCCAAATGTAACGACACCGAGTACACTGCACCACTTCCACACGAAGGGCCCGGTCCCAGCTGGGATTCAAAGCCAAGTCGAATTGGCCCCAAAGCCCATGTTCCTTCCAGGATACCAGGCTGCTTCCTGCATTTTGAACCCTGTCTTCCTCTTATGTCTCCAGATGACGACACTCACCTTTATTTTCGTATTTATGAACGTGGTCATTGAGCTATTACATGTACCTAAAGGGTTACAGAGCAGGAAGTACGTCTCCTCCTACCCGGGCCCTGGTTGCCTGGAGCCGTCACCTGGAGTTGTCACCTTTACAAGCTTATCGAGTATCTCAGACGCTCACCGCGCCTGCACAGAGTCCAGTGGGTCCTGGGGTGGGTGTCGCCCAGCACCTTGCTGACTTCGCTTCGCTTGTATGTGGGGAGTGGTCCACACCGGCAGGCAGAGCTCTGCCATCGGACCTACCGCAGCTGCATCGCGTGCATACGACGTACTTAGCGTTGTACTGTGACCTGAGCATTCTCAGAAGGAACTCCAGTGTCACGTGAACTAAGCCCCTCCCTCCCTCCGCGTTCATCAGCACGCAAGCCGGCCTCCCTCCCTGCGGGAAGCGCTCCCCCGACCGGCCAGCGCACACTGGCCCTGTACGGGACAGCCACGCAGCAAAGCCAGGGCTGGGAGACAGAGGCAGGCAGCGCTGCCTGGGGCCCTGGTTGAAGAAGTCTCCCGTTTATCCTGGACCCGAGAAGACCACCGGGATCATACCTGTCTCACCAAGTGAACCAGAGGGCGGGAAGGAGATGGAAGAAGTTTCCAGAAGCAGCACCGTGCATCGCTGGAAAGCACCTACACTAGAGCCGGTGGGTCAGCACTTGATGCCAGTGAGGTCAAGGCTGTGAGTCGGGTTCTTGGGAAGGACAGTGCTCTTTAACTACTGCGGCACCACAGAAGGTTCTGGAACATCCAGCCAGTATTTAGCAGATGTGTGCTTTCCGGGGGGAGGCTAGTGAAGCCAAGGCTGCGCTCATCGGTGGGACAGCAGCCCCCTCTTCAGTGAGCATGGGGGTGTGGCTGCTGCCCCGCCTTTGCTCATCCCCCGGGCAGGGAGCGGGGGTGGGGGGCGGTGGTGGAGCCTAAAGGGGCTTAAACACAGCCTGAGTGCTGAACCGAGCCGCCATCAATCGGCAGCAAAAGAAAGCACTGCCCATCTGTCTGATCTGATGTGTCCCCGAGCATCTCCAATGGCCGTGACGGAGGAGTGTTTGCAGTCATGCGTGGCCGGGCATCACTCAGCTCCTCGTGCGTGGAAAAGCATGTGTGGTGTGAGGCAGGGCAGGCGTGCAGCACGGTACCTGTAAGCTGTAATTAGCCTTTCCCTTAATGAGCTGCGTGATGAGTTCTGCGGTGTGCTGGAAATGGATCTTTTCTGTTTAAAGAAGAAAAGAGGAAAGTGTCAAAACCCGTAACCCCACGCAGGGCGATGCTCTCGCCGAGCGCCGTGGTCAGTGTCGGGGGCTCACCGTCGGCGGTCGCGTGGATGAGGAGAAGCCGCTGCCCTTCCAGCGCGGACACCCGGCGTGCCACCTTGGCCATCTGCATGTGTGCGACAGGGGTCAGCGCCCGCCGTGGGGAGTAGGGCATGAGCCCAGGAACCCTGACCCGGAGGGTGAGGGCCACGCAGTGTCCTGGGCACAGTTCCTGGAAGCCCTGCGAAAGCTCTCGGGGGCCTGGGCTTTCCCAGCCCCAACCCCTTTTAAAGAGGAAGGGGACAGGACAAGATCTAGGAAGCAGGGAGAAAGGGTCTCCTCCCCCTGAAGGTGGCCTGGGGCCTTCATTCAACCGATGCCGCTGGGAGGTGCTGCCCTGGCCAGAGCGTCCTGCTGTCCGTTCCCGGGTTGCAGCTCTGAAGCCGCAGCCTGGCCTACAGCAGCTCTCTGGCCTCCTCGGTGCCAGTGAGGAGATGCATGCGTGATGCCCACACTCAGCCGCCTGAGCGGTCAAGACCAGGAGGCGGTGTCCGAGGGGCTTCCTGCTCCCCCATCAGGGGCTGCTTCTCCCGGGAGCAGAAGCAGCCGTGGGGGCAGCGGGCCAGCGGCCATCCACACCCGAGCCTATGGGCCCTGGGACAGACTCCTCCACCCTAAGCCCTTCCCCACCTTCCGCCTTGTCCCGCCGGTTCCAGAATGGGCAACCAGACCGATCTGGGAGAGATCACGGCACCCGGGTGAATGGGCTTTGACACGGGAGGGAGGGAAGGAGGGAACACAGGCCAGCAGGAGTTAAAAGGGGGCGGAGCCTGGGGGGGAGGGAGGGAGGGAGGGAGCAGTTCGGAGAAGCATCATCGCAGGGTTCCTCGTTTTTGCCAAGTGGTGGCTCTGCCCCAAACCCTAACCCTAACCCAAACACACCTCATACGCTCTGTTGTCAAGTCCGTGGAGGCCCAAGTACCTCTCGGAAAATGCAGATGCTGCACACAAGCAGAGGACAGCGTTAGCCCTTGGCCTCGGGGCCCCTTTGGGCTCCGGGGGCCGCCCTGGGGACGGGGCTGGACTCCCTTCCATCTTCCCGGGGAACATCTGCTTCTGAAGAAGCACCTAAACCTCGTGGGTCTTTGCGGGGTTACTCAGCCGGCGCCACAGTGACATTTAGACCTGCTAGTGGTGGTGGTGGGATTGCAGCACGAGGGAAACCGAACTGATCTGATTCCGAAATAAACAGGATTCACACCCCGCCCCCACTTCATTTCAACGTCCAGAAGGGGGAACAGATATGAAGAGCCAACTTCATCAGGTTCCCTTATTTTCAGAAAGTGTCGGCTGCCTCCGCTCTGCCTGCCCCCTGGCTCAGGTCCAGGGTCTCGTGAGGACCGAGGCCGCCCCGTCAGGAAGTCTGGGAGTCCAGGGCACCGAGCTCCTTCTACAGGTGCAGGGACCCCTTAGTTCAGTCCAGGAGACCACGTGGGCTCTCCGCTGTCCCAGACACAGTGACACATCAAGGCGCGGGGTTGGGCGCATTCGTGTGCACTCAACTCAGGCAGATTTGAAATAGCCTGATTAAAAACCCCGAGAAAGTCTCACTGAATTTGAAAAACAGAGAATATGTTACATGGCTTCCCATGGGACAGTAATTTTAAGTGATTAGAATTTGGAATTAGGGGAGTTCCTGTATGATCTTGAGTCGGAATGTGCATTGGGCACTTGCAAAAATCAGCACATCTGCTGTGAGCCTTTCGGCTGCCAGAGCTGGTGAGCGGCAGACGCGCCGGTGTCCCTGGACGGCTCCGCGCGGTCCACGGGTGCCGAGCTGGGGCGCGGGAGGGTGCGGCCATGGAGTGATGATGGTTCCTCTGCCCCGAAGGGACCTCAGGCCCCCAGCAGGGCTCCGCACACCAGCGACCAGGAGCCCCCGGATTCCCCATCAGCCTGGCTCGGTGCCGGCAGCTGGGGCCGACGGCCCAGACTCCCTGCCGCCCTGACCCGAATGCCAGCTCCCAGAGCCCACAGAGAGGGCCTTGCCGACATTTAAAAACAGGGTGACATCACAAAGCCCTTCACGTTCAGAGAAAAGAGGCTGGCTGACCAGAGGGAGGACCCCCCCCAGCAGTGCCCACAGAGCCATGTCTGTGCAGCTGCAGGCAGGGTCTGCCCGCCACACTGGGAGTCCGGTCACAGAAAGGAGCTGGCAGATGCCGGGTCAGAGGGCGGGGCAGAGCCACCCAGGCCCCTGGGCAGCAGCTCCCCTAGCCCTTCACCTGCCCCCAGACACCCCGCGCCGGACAGAGACCCGGCGCAGGGCCCCCGCCGCACTGCAGGGTCAGAGAGGAGGGGCGAGGGCGGCCCGGAGTCCCCTTCCCTTCTGCTCGCACCATTCCCATCACTGCAAGCACAGGCGCTGGGCGTGTTCTGGCTCCTGGTCTCGTGTGTCGGGAACGCGACTGAGGGGCAGCGGTGGGCTGACCACTTTCCGAGCAAGTGGCGTGAACCCCTCTCCCCCCTCCCCCAGGCCCTGTCTGTGAGGTTCCACCGCGGGCCTCGCCACCCTGCAGGTTATCGGACTGGGCGCTGAGGGAGGGAGGCCTGGGGGCGGGTGCTGGGTGGGACCAGCGCCCCTCCGGTCGGGGCCCCTACCGTAGAGCTTGAAGTCTGTTATCGGGGAGAGCGCAGAGCCACAGGTGAAAACCGGGCCTTGATTCTCGCCCTTCGCTGGGAGGATGTAAGTGCTCAGGTACCCACCGTAATCCTGGGAACGAGCAGAGGGCAGAGAGAAGGGCAGGGGCAAAGTCAATAACTCACCCATGAAAACAGCCACAGACAATGAGGTCAGTGGCTCAAGCAACCACTGTCACCTAGTTCGTTTTTCTAAAAAAAATTAACGTTGAAAAATTATAAGGGAGGTAAAAAGATGAAAGCAAACGCCTTTCCAGCTAAATATAACGTGAGGCAAGTATCCCCCTCCTGGGCCTCGTGTTCGAGTGACACGAGGATGAAGCGTGGCGGTGACTGTGGACTGGAGTGCGGCGTGTACTGTGGGACGGCTGTCCAGCGTTCTGACGCAGCGCCCCCTGCTGCCTCTCCCTTGCCTGCAGGCAGAGCCGACCCGCTTTCTGTGATTCTGAGGGCGGGCCCATGAGGAGCCAATGTCAAAGGGCTCCAGCACTGGTCGCCAGGATGCTCAGCTCAGGGGTCTGCCCGGGACAGACGTCCGCACGTGTCGTGTACGTGGGTCAGTCCTTCATTTCCTGTACTGCCCTTATTTGGGGCTGACATGAAAGACCCCAATTTCAATGTGAGCCTTCCAGAGAGAGCAAAGCATTACACCGTATCTGCCGTGGGTGCTGGCTGGTCCAGATGCACCTGTTTGTTTCCTGCAAGACCCAAAGGGAAGGGGGCACAGATGTGATGTTTTGCTGAGCAAAGGTGGGCAAGGAGAGGAGCGAAGGCCCGGAGAACCAGGCTGTGGCTGAGGGCTGTCAAAGGTGTGGCCGAGTGTGAGTGCGTGTGCTGAGGTGAGAGGGTGGCGTGTGTAGAACCCACATACCTGATGGAGACTGTCATGTCCATGCCATGCCAAACTCCCTGTAGAATTAACTGTTTCTGATCAATATATTTAAGTTTGTTACATTATAATAGTGCTCCTTCAGTAGAACAGGAATACCTTAAAGACAGTAACAGTCTTTTTGGTTTCTGGCAAATAATATTCATGGTCAATGGAATCTCCAAGCCTTACCAGTCATTCTGCAGTTTGTTTTTTAAAATGTGTTGACTGACAACATCAAATGCTGGTGAGGATGTAGAGCAACAGGAACTCTCATTTGTTGCTGGTGGGAATGCAACATGGTACAAACACTATGGAGACAGTTCGGTGGTTTCTTACAAAACTAAACATCCCCTCACCATATGATCCCATGACTGCACTCCTTGGTATTTACTCTAAGAAGCTGAAAACTTATATCCACACAAAAACCTGCACATGGATGACCAGAGCAGCTTTGTTCGTAACTGTCGAAACTTGGAAGCAACCAAGATGCCCTTCAGTAGGTGAGTGGATGAACTGTGGTGCATCCAGGCAGTGGATTATCTGGTGCTAAAAAGAGATGAGCTATGACGCTATGGGAAGATCTGGAGGAACCTTAAATGCTAAGTGAGAGAAGCCATCTGAGAAGGCTCCACGCTATGTGATTCTGACTCTGTGACACTCTGGAAAAGGCACAGCCGTGGAGACGGTAAAAAGAGGAGTGTCTGCTGGGGGAGGGGAGAGAGGGGTGAAGAGGTGGAGCTCAGAGGATCCTCAGGGTGGAGGGACTGCTCTGTGCGGTCCCGTGATGATGGAGACATGCCATCACACGTCTGTCCAAACCCACAGAAGGTACCACCTCAAGAGCGATCCCTGATGTAAACTCTGGGTTCTGGGTGATGATGATGCGTCAGTGCAGGTTTGTCAACCGTAACAAAGGTACCAAATGGTGGGGCTTGATAGTGGGGAGCCCGTGCATGCTGGGGGGGGGGCAGGGGGAATTCTCTCACGCGTGCTGTGAACCTGAACCTGCCGAATGCCCGTCAGCTAAAGGAATCGATGGCTTATTGCCTTGGAGGGGATGCAATCACAGAGTCCACAGCCCTGTACCTGAGGCGCCATTCAAAGAGGCGGGGACCCATCAGGCAGAGTGGATAAGGGTGGTGACCAGCAAAGAGCACCACACACATCCTCGGCCTGTCTCAGGGACGGGGGTGTGGGCTGCGTTCTGAAGGACGTGTGGGCCCCCGTCCACACAGCGCACGACGCCCAGGCAGCTGAATCTCCCACTTGTCCAGAAAGCCTCTTCACGGCGCCCTGACTCCTGTGTCTGCGTCCACAGTGACCTTTGAAAGGTCCAGGCGCGGGGGCCATGCTCAGGTGCCCACGCGGAAAGCAGCCAGAGGAGGGAGGCCAAGCTCCCAGGAGCAGAGTGCATGTTTGGGGAAGAGCCGAGACTGGACAGAGGCTGACCTGGGCCCGGGCGCCCTGCCCTGAGCTGTGGTCAGTCTGTGGGGCAGTAACTTTCCCATGGGGACGGGAGGTAAGAGCTGTCGCCCCAAGTTATGCTGTAAGTGATCCAACTGGCTCTGAGCTTCGCAGGCTGGGAGTGGCCTCCACCAGCACAGAATGAGCCCTAGGACTCGGCGTCCAGGCTCTGATCCATCCCCTGGGCCCTCCCTTTGCTGCTGCACCTCCCGTGCGGGTGTGGGATACACAGCACGCATGCTGGGACCTCCACAGGGCGATCCCTTGTCTCAGATGCACACGGCTCCCTCGAAACCCTGGGCTCAGAGGTGATGACGTAACAGGTATCTCTCCGGTTACCTGTTCAAACCTCCACCTGCCGTGGGGTCACTGCGAGGCCCCTCTGCAGGACCTGTTCCCTCAGAGGGAAGACGGGTCTGTGTCTATCTGTGCTCCTGCCTTGAAACCAAGAGCCCACGGGTCCAGGCCACCTAACAACGGGGGAGGGGGCCAAGGCGATAGGAGGTGGTCCTCCAGGGACCCAACTCCAAGCCACGACCCCACCACACCCGGCTACGGCCCTCGGACGTGGGCCACCCCGTGGAAGCTTCTCTGTTTTGACAGTTCAGTGCACGAACCTCCCCACCTCCTCCCTACCACGTAAGTGAACCTGCTAAATTAACGTGGCTACTGCACAGAAAGACATACAGAAATAAAGACTCCTGCCTCCCCTTCTTTCCTGGGGTACCACCCCTAGAGCCATGGCAGGCTTGTCTGAAAAGTAACTAGGAGCCTCACAGAGCACTCCCACAAGGATCTGGCTTCTTTCTATCTTTCCTTCCAGATAGTGTGCAAAGAAACATTGATACATGAGCTGCTCAGATGAGGGCTCCCTGTGCTGGAATCACTGAACATCTTGAGTTATTTGTAGTGAGGTGGACGGACCCAGAGTCTGTCATACAGAGTGAAGTAAGTCAGAAAGAGAAAAACAAATACCGTATGCTCACACATATATATGGAATCTTTAAAAAAAAATGGTTCTGAAGAACCTAGGGGCAGGACAGGAATAAAAACGCAGAGGTAGAGAATGGACTTGAGGACACGGGGAGGGGGAAGGGTCAGCTGGGACGCAGTGAGAGAGTGGCATGGACATATATACACTACAAAATGTGAAATAGATAGCTAATGGGAAGCAGCCACATGGCACAGGGAGATCAGCTCGGTGCTTTGTGACCACCTAGAGGGGTGGGATAGGGAGGGTGGGAGGGAGACGCAAGAGGGAGGGGATATGGGGATATATGTATACGTATGGCTGACTCACTTTGCTGTACAACAGAAACTAACACACCATTGTAAAGCAATTATACTCCAATAAAGATGTTAAAAAAAAAAAAAAAAGGGCTCGCAGGCAGCTGGAGCAGAGATGTTCCCAGTGAATCAGGGTCAGGCTTGGGGGTGGTGCAGGTCAGGGCCTGAGCAGGGGGCGTGCAAACAGGGGCCAGCAACCTCACCTTCCCAAACACGGCCACGCGTGTCTTGTCAATGTACTGCTCCTTCAGCATCATCCTGCAAGGTCAAGGAGACGGGAGTTAGTGCGCGCCACGGCTGAGTCGTGCAACCCTGGGGTCTAGAGCCGTGTTCTCCAACCATTTCAAGGATGAAAACCCCGACTTTAATCAAAGGAAATATTGGAATTCTAATATCACACTGGTCATTGCTTCTACTTTACGCAAAACGCAAAGCGCCCCTGCCATCACCGTGGGGCGACCAGGCGTGTAAAGCTGGCTGAGAACCAGGAACGCGCAGCAGCAGAGGAAGCTCTGGAGACTCGCAGGCCCGCCTGGGTCCCCACCTCGGTCCCCGCCTCCCTCACTTGGACCACGTCGTGACTCCCAGCCACCAGGCTCTGGGAGGGTCCTCCGGGATCAGCAGGAAGAAAAGGCTCTCCGGGTGCGAGTCGGCTTCGAGTCAGGGCACTGGGTCCCCCTTCACCTGCAGAGTCCTCTGTCCCCAACTCCCGGGAGGGGTCCCTGTCTTGGACCTGTTTGGTGGCAGAATCACTCCTGCCACAGCTCTGCCTTGGATGCCACCAGCCCGGCGCCCAGGCTGGCGCTGCCCGGTCCTGCCTTGTCCCTGCCCGCATCTCATTGCTCTCCTCGTGGTCCCTGGTTTCCCCCCCAGAGTGGCTGGAATCTTTCTGGGTTCTGGACCCTCACTCAGCAGCAGGAGTCCTGCCACCTGCTGGCCAGTAACTGGCTTCTTTCTGAGCCTTCCTGCTGCCTCTCTCCATCTGTCACCACCGCGGAGCCTCCTTCCCCCAGCTTCCTGTCACCCCAGTCTGGGTATTGCCCGGTGATTATTTTCTTGCGTCTGCTGTCTGGAGCCACCCCATGCCCTCTGACTGCCCTTCTAAGCCTGGGGGACTGTAAACCTCCGGGTCCTGGGCCCTGAGAGTGCCCTATCCTTCTCCAGCCAACTCTCCAAGGACACCCACGTCCTGGGACCCGGCCTGCCCTTCATGGTTGGAGCAGCGCTTCCATTATGATGTTGGAAGCAAGCGGACCCCGTTGCCGGGGGTGGGAGGGGAGAGAGGGAGGGCCCAGCGCAGAGCAGCAATTGTCCTGACTCCTCATGATGATACAGATTCAGGTGACTTTTGTACTTTTATTACAGTCAGCCCTCCGTATCCACAGGTTCCACACTGACAGATCCAACCAACTGCGTATTGAAAATATTGAAAAAAAAATCCAGAAAATTCCAAAAAGCAAAACTTGAATTTGCCTCACCTTGGTAACTATTTACACAGCATTTACATTGTACTTACAGCTGTCTACATAGCATTTACATGTAGGGGGATTATAAGGGATTGAGAGATGTGTGTATCTTAAGTACACAGGACGATGTGTGATGGTTGTGTACATGTGCTCCACCATTCTACAGAAGGGGCCTAGGGAGCCGAGGACTGTGGTACCCACGTGGGTCCTGGAACCAGTCCCCAAGGATAACGAGGGCCAACTGTGTATTACTGTTTATTGTTTCCCCAGAGTATTTGTGGAAAATTGATGATTCATGCATGTTCATCCTGTGGATGGATGTTTGATTCCATTTCAGAATACTAGTGAGAACAAGAGAACTGGCCCCACTACCTTCCCATCCTCCTCCCTCCACCCCTCGTCCCCATCCATCCCTTGAGCGTGTGTCATCTGTAAGCCTCAGTGCCAAGTCTTAGGGACAAAGGCTAATTCACAGGCCTTACTGTCAGAAGCTTCCACTCTCCGAGTCAGGATATCTTGTGTCCAATTCCTGCTCAGCTACTAAGGGGCTGTGGGACCTTCAGACATGTCACTGAAACTTTCTGGGGAGAAACAGAACAGGCTCCAGACGCTGGGACACCAGGCTCAGTGTGGGGTGAGGTGCAGGATTGCAACAAGCCAGCCAACTCCGAGTCTGCATCCTACACGGGCCTCCCTCGGCCTCTCCCAGACACAGGTACTCGGGAACGTGATGCCCAGGCTGGAGAAGCTGACCTCCCCTGGAGAGGATACACACCATATCAAGGGGTGTGGGTCTCTCCCATGAAGAGCTGGATGCCCTCCACCACCCTCGGTAAAGCCCACCTGCCAACAGCTCACAATCTGCACACAGAACTGGCACCCCGGTTAGTGCCTCTCTTATGAATGAAGAGGCAGCCAGGTGTCACCAGAAATGTAAAGAATCTTCCAGATGAGGGCTTCCCTGGTGGCACAGTGGTTGAGAGTCCGCCTGCCGATGCAGGGGACATGGGTTCGTGCCCCGGTCCGGGAAGATCCCACATGCCGCAGAGTGGCTGGGCCCGTGAGCCGTGGCCGCTAAGCCTGAGCGTCCGGAGCCTGTGCTCCGCAATGGGAGAGGCCACAGCAGTGAGAGGCCCGCGTACCGCAAAAAAAAAAAAAAAAAAAAAAAGAATCTTCCAGATGAGAGAGTCCAAACCCAAACAACAACAACAAAAAACCTCAGGATAATTCAGGAATCCAGAGGGAACAGAGATAATTCAGTGAACAGAAGAAAATCGTCCTAATATATCTAGACAGACAAAAAATATTGAACCAATTAGACAAGAAGAGTATGCTCTTGGATGAAGAGAGAAGGCTAGGGATTTTGAAGTGTCATGCCTGAAAATAAACACTCAACAGAAAGGCTGGAATATAGGAGAGAAAAGGTATGATGAGAATAAATCGGAAGCACCAAAACAGTACAATAAAAGTTCCAGAAAGAAACAACAGAGCAAAGAGAAATTATCAACACATTATAGTAAAAACTTTCCAAGACTGAAGAACAATTATTCCCCAGATTGAAAAGTCCCACACCAATGGCTGAAATTTCAGGATACCAGGATTAAAGACGTCCTTCTTCTGAAAAGGAGAAAGAAGCAGACCATCTACAAGGATCAGCAAATAGAATGACATCGTTTTTCTCACCAGCAACACGTGGTGGACAATTCCAGGGCCTTCTAGACAGAAATGATTTTGTTTGTAGGTTTTATATCTAGATAAACAATAATTTCAAATGTGGGAATAGAATAAAGACATTTTGAGATGTTTTCTAGATATATGAAGGAAAAAGTAAATAAAAAGGGAGACATATATCTGTTGCTCTTTGGCCCATGACCCAGGGTGTGTGCAAAGGACCCAACACAGGAGAGTGGTGAAAAGGGCCTCAAAAGTAACCCTATAGACACCTGGTTCAAATGGACGAGAAGAAAGGGGACTACAGCTCAAGAAAAGAACGTTGGAACTGAGAGATTACTAGTATGTTTGAGCATCTGGGAAGAATACTCATAGGAGCCCGAGTGGCATGCAGGAACAACTGGAAATATTATGAGCAGGTACCAATACATAGAAAGTTACCCAAGTGAAAGACAAAGCAACACTGCAGGAAAAATGAAGTGATGTAAAGGAAAGTAGGGCACGAAGAGACCACCAGGGTCTGAGGTCAGCACCATTTACGTAGTGAGCCTGCACCTCAGACTGCTCATCTAACCAGGCAGTTGATGTAGCAGTTCTGGGAAGATGACGGTACAGAGCAGCTAAATCCTCACCTGCGACAACAGGAAGTTGTGATGAGGAATCGTGACGTGAGGACAACTGTGCTCAGAAGAGACGAGGTGAACTTGATGAAGGAGATGGTGCGCCTGAGGGTGGCTGTGGCTCCGGGAAGCGGGGCTGGTGGGGGGTTGGGCGAAGGGCAAGGGAATTTGTGTGGGTCATTTAAGCCTTTGTTATGGGTTGAATTCTGCAAAATATGTTGAATTTCTAATCCCTCAAACCTTAGTATGGGACAGTATTTGTCAATAGGGTCCACTGCAGATGTAATTAGTAAGTTAAGATGAGGTCACACTAGAGTGACTCGTGTCCTCGTAAGAGGAGGAGAGACACAGAGACACAGGGAGGACGCGGCCAGTGGAAGACGCAGGATTGGAGGGACGCAGCTACAAGCCAAGGACTGCCAGCGACTACGGGGAGCTGGAGGGGGCGAGGAAGAGCCCCTGCCCTGTGGGTGTTAGAGAGAGCGCGGCGCTGCCCACACCTTGATTTTGCTGTTCCAGCCCTAGGAAACTAACACAACACTTTAATACTTTTGCTTTTTAAAAACATTGTGCAGGTATCATAGGATAGCCTGGCAGACTTCAAGTCACGTCTGCCAGGCTTAGGAGTTGGAGGTGTGTGCAGACGCACGCACGCACACACACACACACACACACACACACACGGCCTAGGTTGACCATCAAAGCACGGCAGGCATACCCACACACGTGGAACCATTGAATATGCTTCTCCAAGTTTCTGAATTCTCTTCTAAGGACCCAAATCCCTGATACACAGACGTGCGTCTGGGAATACCTGGTGAAATGGTCAACCTGGCCCCATGAGGATTCTGCCCCACGGCCTGAGGTCCAGACCACGACTGCTGGGATGCGGAGACCATGGAGCGTGGAGAGAGCCACGTGAACCTCAAAGGGCACGGGGCCCGGGTCTCAGGCGCCATTCCAATTCATAAAATACATCGGATTTTTATTCTCAGCCCTACTTCCACATTCGCAGGCAGCCTCTGGTCTCCGGCAACCCCTCCATTTAATTACCTGGCGATTCACTTCTTGATCTAAAAACCACAGGTCTTGGTAAGGATCCTCATTTGTAAAGTACTCAGGAGTCTGCCAAGGAAAATAGTTCTTACCAATATCAAATATTTTTATTATCTTTTGCTATATTTCCACTCATCAGCGGGCAGTTCCTGTGTGATGGCTGTTTCCTGGAGAGCAGTGGAGCCGAGGCGGACCAGCCTGACCCAGGCGTAGGCGCGTTTTATCACTGGGATGCTCTGAGGCGCAGCAAGGCCCCGGCGTCCTTCTCCATGGAGCAGGCGCTGAGCTCTGCTCCACGGCAGGGTCTGCAGAGGCCCCGAGTGAGGACGGGGGAGGCTCCAGCCTCCAGAAGCGCGTCTGGGGGAGGTGGGCTGACACCCTGGGAGAAGCAGTGCTCGCACCTTCCAACCTTCCACGTGTCCACACCATCTCAAGCTGTCCCCGCCAGTGACCGGCAAGGGGTCCTCCGAGGCCCGCCTCGGCTTGGCAGAGATGCTCGAAGCCCAGCTGCCACGGGAAGCCCGCTCTCTGTGTCCCGTCCTTTCCCGTGTCAGAGCCCCTGCAGTCTGACGGCTCTGCCCCTGCTGCGCTCTGGGCCGCGCATCCCGCACAAACGCACCTTCTGCACGTCTAAGTGTGTGTTGGCACCGCTTCCTGGGGACCCACGCTGACGCAGGTGTCACGCACCACACAGCTGCTCTCAGCACCCTCAGAGTCAGGGAGCCTCACAGCCAGAGACTTGATGGGGCAACTTGGAGGGGCCAGCGGGAGGAATGTGGTCAGCACATTTGTCCTGCCCTCTGCTGGGGACAGCAGAGCGTCGAGAGGGACACAGAACTCACCGCTCCGCTCCACGCCCGTCTCCGTATCTGTCCGCTTACAGATCTTGCTGACGCTGCTGCAGAAATGCTTCCTCCACGGCATGGTGCTGCCCCTGCCCTCCCGGGGCCTCCGACAGCCCCAGCGTACCCTACATCGATCCCCTGGATCTTCCTAACTCTGCCATATGCCTTTGAAGACATGTATGTTATTTCTCTCTCCTTAAACCACCCCATTTGAATGTTTCCTGCCAGGACTCTGACCCATAAAACCTGCTACACCGCTACCAGCATTACTGTTCTGAAAAATAAAGGTGGCTTTGTCACCTCCTTGCTAAACTCCCTGAGGGACCTCTGCTGCTGGGAGGGCAGGCGCCGGCTCCGGAAGATGGTGTGGGAGGGTCTCAGCCCACCCCACGTCTCCAGGCATCCCCTGGCCCCAGCGCAGCCCACACTGGGCTTACTGGGGGCCTCGGACCTCATGCGCCTTTGCGTTACCAGGACCATTGCTCACAGCACTTTGTCGGTGTGGAATGCGCACTCGCGCTCCCTGGTCAATCCCCACTACCCTTTGAGGTGGGGTCTTGGCAGAAAGCCACCTCCTCCTAGAAGCCCCTCCAGGCAGGGCTGTGCTCCTCTGCTCCCAGACCACCGTTCGCGTGGCCCTCGCCTGGGAGGGACATGCTTCCAGCTGTGGTGGGGGAGAGCCCCTGCTCCAGGACTTCCTCCAGGTGATGGACGAAGTTGGGACAACTGCCCGGGGCTGGGGAGCTTTGGGGAGCTAGGGTGGGGAGCTGGTCTCAAGGTCTCTTAAACTGAACAGGCTGGGCTATTTCTTTCTAATGAAAATACAGACCCAGATCCTAAACAAAGCTTCGTAGGGTTTTCCATGGCTTGAGACACTTGGGCATCAGCTTCCGGAGGTCTGCGTGGCTGCTGATGGCTGTAAGGCTTGTGATGGTTCGTCTTCCTGTTCCTGGAAGCCTCAGTGGCTTGAGAGCTGACATTATTTACTGTTGCCCTGGAACAGGTTCTGCCCTGTTTTTGAACAGATGGCCGATCAATCCCTTATTTTTAGAAGCACCGTGAGTGTGAAACAGCCTGTGCCCTCTCGTCCCCTGCTCAGAGTGGGGCGGCCACACCAGCCAGGCTGGCAGGATGTCTGAAGGACGCCGCGTCCTCCCCCAGGGCCTCGGGGGGCCCGCGAGGACTCCGGGCTTCCTGGGAGGAGTCAGAGCAGGGCGGCAGGTGGGGAAGGACAAAAAGAGGGGGGCTCCGAGGGAGGGGGCTCTGCGGTCAGCCTTGTCCCGTGCCTCCCAAGCCTGACCTAGGCCCACGTGCTTCTCCAGAGGGGTCCCTGTGGCCCACGTGCCGCTGCTGCCTCTCCTCCTTTCCCGGCTGTGTTGTTACCACCCTTCCTTCCTCCGCCTGGGGCGGTGGACCGGTCCCCAGCCCACCGGGTCTCAGGGGTGTTGCCCCCCCTGCTCCTGGGTGATGCTTCTGGGTTCAGGGAGACAGAAGGAGAGGTTTGTCGGGTGCCCCTGGGGAGGCTCCTCCCTTCCTTCCTGGAGGTTTCTGGAAGTGGCTCGACCTGCTGGCGGTGCTCTGGCAGCCGTCCTGTGAGCGTGAGAAGAGGTTCAGCACAAGGCCACATGCTTGGCTGAGCGGAGAGACGAGAGAGCCGGGCCTGCAGTGGCACTGTTGGGTCCCTGAGCAACCAAGCTGAGGCCTGACGTCCCCCTGGACTTCCAGCGCCAATACAGTGTCGTGTTTTTAAAGCACGTTTAACATTGGGTGTGTGTTCGCGCGTGTGTCTGTGCTGTTGTTAACTTCCAGGCAAAAGCATCCTGACGGGAGCGACTTCCCAGACGCGGTCCTCAGCCATCTCTCCTACCCCTGTTCTCTGCCTGTAGCACGTGCTGGTCTGATCGTGTCGCCTCTCTTCACCAGCTCACGACTCCCTTGAGGAGAGTGGGCCATTCGTTCACACACTCATGGTTTCACCCACTTAGAAATTATTTACTGAGTACACACCACGTGCCATCAATCTTTTTAAAAACAAGAGAGAAAACGTTCTGAAAAGTCAGTAAAGTGAAATCTTTTAAACCTGCAGAGCACACAGTCACGATGACACACGGGATGCAGCATCCAGCCTTCTCACAGCCCTTCAGTCAGCACTTACTCATCTGGGCGCCATATGCCGCCCTTTCCAGATGTCCAGCGTCCAGCGTCGCGCACCCCGCTTCACAATGAGGATGACAATCGTGCGACGTGCTCTTCTTGTCCCTCCAAGCACCGGAGTCCGTGGGTGTGGCTGCATCTCCCTGGTAAAGTCACGTCTGGCCCTACGGTCCGCTGTGCCGTAAAACTGTGAAAACTCTATTTCTACAGATGTGCCTGCAGGCCAGTTAGTCGGGCACAGGTCCTTGATGTCTCTTATTCCGGGGCAACAATAAAATTCAATCAGTAACTTGGAGCATCAGTCCCCTGCACTAAGCCCCTTTCTGTTCTCGGTGACACTCTATCCGTCCTGCTGCCTTGGAGACAGGGATGTGAAGAAACCAAGGGACAAAACGTGCCCGTCAGCGGGGCTGAGCGGGGGTTCTGACTTGCCGCCTGGAAGCGCAGGGGGTCCTTCCTCAGGAACGCAGTGACCCACTGCATGGCTCCAGCCCCACTCACGTCCTCTCTCTCTCATGGCCCCAGCCCGGCTCTCCCCCCGTGATCAGCAGCCAAGGTCTACAACCACAGCACGCCCACGTCACGGTCTCCGCACCCGGTTTCAATCAGCGAAACGGACAGGCCACCGAGCTATGTGATAACGAGGATACAAGTCTTTGGGAGAAGATTACTAGCAGGAATTCACTGCGGAATGGCCCGAAGACTTCGTAAGTACAAGCAAATCGCAGATGAAATGTGTGTTGACAAGAAACACGCGTTTGGAGAGGACCACGGCGCAGCCCAGGTAGGAGCTGCGGCCGCCCCCCTCCCCCTCTCCCCCCGTTCCAGTGGTGCCTCCGGGGGTCCTCACCTCACAGCCTCCATCTGGTCCTTCTCCTCCAAGGAGCCCAGCCTCCGCTTCACCTCGTGCAGCAGCTTGGTCCCTTGGAAGCCGCTGCCACGGCCGTCGCACTTGACCACCACGGCCCCGTGACTACTCACCATCACCGTCTCCCAGCTCACCTCAAACTTCTCAGCCACGCTCTGGCTTCCCGGGGCGCCATCCCTGGAAAGACAGGCCAGGGCTTGGCACGTGGCTTGCAGCAGCGGCTGGTCCAGCCGACATCAGGTCCGATGATGCTTCCCCAGGGGCTGGCAGTGCCCTCCCCGGAGGGCGCCCGAGACCCCGGCCACGACGCCCGGCTCCACAACTCTGCACACCCGGAGGGCGATGGGGAAACTGAGCTCCCAGGACCACCCCGAGCACAAGGTCACTGAGGGGCATGTTCTCGGGGAGAGGAACTTTGGAAAGTCCTTCCACGTCCCCCCTCGGTTGGTCTCCCCACACGGACTGACTCGTCCTGCCCTTCCTGGGCGCAGTTTCCCAGGCTGCCGCCTTGGTCCCCATCATGTGTTGCTCCTTCTGGTGGCTCCTGGTTTGAAGGAATTCCCTCCGTCTGGTTCGCTCCGGAGCAGAGCCTGTGGCTGACCTGGGCGGCCTTCCTGTCCGCATCTCCGGGGGCAGCCTGTCCACCGCCCCCACAGAGTATTGCCCAAGCACTTAGCTGGGTGGGGTGTGGGTTCTCTTGTTCGCGTGGCTTCCCTGTTTCCCGACTGGGGGCACGACCGTGTGAGCTCAAGTCACCCACGGCGCGTGTTCTCAGCCGGGACTCGGCCAGAGCTGCCGACGGGCCTTGCAGCTGGGGACACGGCTGTTGAGCGTTCACTAGTGCTAATGGGGGTGAGGAAGCTCTAAGTGACTTTCCTTCTGGAGGGGACACAGGGTGAGCAGAAGGGACGGCCGACGCCAGGCCCAGGGCCCTCAGAAACGGCGACAGACGCAATGTCCCTTCTGAGGCTGGCCGCCCCTCCAAGGAGTCCACAGCTACTGCACCACTGTCATCCTGGCCTTCTGCCGGGACAGGAGTGCAGGCAAGGGGTGTGTGTATGTGTGTATGGGTGTGTGGTGTGTGTATGTGCTGTGTATACTGGTGTGGTGTGGTGTATGTACTGTGTATACTGGTGTGTGTATGTGGTATGTGGTTTGTGCGTGTATGTGAGCATGTGTGGGTGTGATGTGTATATCTGTGTTGTGTGTGTGTGTTGCGCACGTGTGTATATATGTGAGAGTGTGTGTGCTGTTGTGTGTGTTTGGTACACTCAGGTGGTGTGTGTGTGTGTATGTTGTATGTGGTTTGTGTGTGTATGTGAGCATGTGTGGGTGTGATGTGTATATCTGTGTTTGTGTGTGTTGCGCATGTGTGTATATATGTGAGAGTGTGTGTGCTTGGTACATTCATGTGGTGTGTGTGTATATGTGTGTGACTGTGTGTGTGCGTGTGTGTGGTCGCTGGCCAAGTCCAGGCGGTGAGGACAGCGGGTTAGTGGCAATAAGCGGGGGCAGCACAGTGGGTCGTGGCCCGGGGTCCTCACAGTGCAGCCTTCGTCACTGAGGGCTGGGCCCCAGGCCGGGCACCAGGCAAGATGCACAGGGTTAGTCAGGCTCTGGGGGGGTGATTTCACTGTGGTCCCTAAAGAGTCCCAGTGCAGGCCTCTGCTCTCCCCTGGACCCTTCCACATGAATACGGGGCTGCGTCCCCAGAGGCCCCGAGGCTCAGTGTCTCCTCTGTCCCGTGGCCACTCACGCACCCAAGCGAGCGGCAGCCCTAATCAGGACCCACTACCGTCAGAGGTGCTTAGAAAACTCTGAAGTCGGTCTCGACATCTGACCCAGAAGCTTGCTAATTAGCACAAGGCAGCTCTGAAATCATCCCGAGGACCAACGCCTGGTGTTCAAGGCCGCCTGGTGGCACCGGAGGAGCCGCTGGCCCCAGCGAGACCCTGCCGGGCCCGCCTCCCGGGGTGACCTCGGGTGCATCCGTCCGCCCTGCACGGTGAAGGCGGGCTCCCCATCAGCTTTCCTGCTGTCCCTGGGGCCGCTGACCGGCCACCGAAGCACGACTCCCGGGATGTGAGTCAAGTCCTGCACTCACTGCGGCAAATCCCCCGAAATCGACTGGGGCCCCACTTTCCTTGGATGTCTGGGGTCAGCAGTTGCTGGAAGCAGCCTGCGGAGCTGCTTCCAGTGGTCCGCGTGCGGCGGGCATCAGGCTCCCGCTTACCAGCCCCGTGAGAGTTTCCTCCCGGGATACTCACACCACCAGGAGCAAGGGGTAGTGGGTGGCGTCGGAGAAGGTTGCTGGCTTGAGGATCTGAACGGGCAAGTCTAGGCAGAAACAGAACACAGGGCAGCACGTCAGGGCCAGGAAGGGAGGGGCGGGACGGGCGCTGGCTGGGTGTGCCCGCCCTGGGGTGTGCTCCCGGGGGCCTGGGAGACGGGCACCCTGGAGGGTTAAGGCCGGTCCTCCACAGACAGGGGCACTCTGGCTCACTCTGGACTTGGGGAAAGCACCCAACCTCTTTAAGCTTAGTTTCTCCATCTGAAGCTTAACTGCAATCTTGCCAACAGGAAAGTGTTGAAAAGCAGAAAAGCCTGGACCCCTGTGAGCACTTGCTGACAGCAAAATTCCAGGCAGGGATGGGGTGGGGGACGAACCCCCAGGGCAGGGTGCACCTCTCTGCCGGGCAGCACTGCCCCAACAAGTAGTTAAGTGGGGACAGGCGGAGACTGAGGGCGGGGTGGGGTAAGGCAAGGGGCAGTGGCCCTGAGGGAGAGGCTAGAGCTGTGGAGAGCCTCCGTGCAAAGCCAGGGGCTGCGCGGGCCTCCCCGTTTGCAGGCTGGAACTGGGCAGGTCTGGCTGCCTGCGGAGCCAGCGGGAGGGAGCTGGTGCAGCCGTGGGTCCTGCAGCCAAGGTCCTTTGGATCTGGTCCTTGGCAACCAGGATCCAGTCTGGGAGGGAGGGGGCCGTTTCCCTCACTGCTTTCTCTGTTCTTCCCCAAACAAACCTTCCTGCCCAAGTTATAAATTGTTTATTGACATTAACTACAGCCCAGATGAGCAATTAAGTTGGAATTAGTGGCTTTTTCAGTACAATTACTGTAGATGCACCCCAGGCTGGGGGTTGGCTTAGCAGCCTGCTCTGACCAGGGTCTCATTACTGATTCTGGCTGAATGTTAATGGCTTGCAAATTAGATCAATGGCCCAGGGACCCTGGACTTTATCACTGAAATATCCATAAAACATGGTCTGGGCTGCTTTCTGCCACTGATAAGCCCATGGGCAGGCTTTGGCCACGAGCAGCTGAATACATTCAGAGAGTGTTCCTGGAGTTGGAATGCTTCTCTAAAGAAAGCCTTAGCCTCCGGTAGCATTAAATGAAAAACAAAGCATAACAAAATAAAAACAGCTCTGTAGGGCGACATCATTCGGATTTCCTGGGACCCCAAGGGGCGATGAGCAAATGCCGGCCCTGCACACAGCTGTCCCTGCTCTCCTTGCATCTACGTCCCCATTTACCCGCAAGTAAAACCTCACCCTGGAAAGAAACCTCATGTGCAAGGGGGGCCGGGAGTTGGCTATTTGTTTCTAAAGACCCTTTTCTGCATCTTTGGAGGAGGGGATGGCAGGCACCCCTTAGTGCTCTGGGGTTTGGGAAACATTGTGTGCAGAGTGGATGGAGGAGGGCACTGGGCTAGAAGCTGAGACAGGATCCTGTGAAGGAATATGATCTGGCCTCCAAGGCTGTGGTAGGAAGTGACAGATGGGAGAAAACTTGCTGATGGGGGACGGGGGCGGGCAGCAAGCTGAGGTTGACCGGTGGAGGCTGACTGGCCTTACAGGGCATGACCCGTGCAGTCACGCAGGCCTGTGCAAGAGCCCTGGCTGGACTGGAAGCTCACAATAAGCCCCACGTTTTCATTTTGCTCGGGCCCTGCACCTTACGGGGCCTGCCTGAGGTCTGCAGATAAAGACCAGGGTAGAGGGGGTGGGGCCAGACCTGTGGAGGTTGCTTGCTCTCTCATCCACCCTCCTATCCTTCCATCCATCCTTCCCTGCATCCCTGCCTCCATCCATCCAACCATCCTTCCCTGCATCCCTCCATCCCTCCATCCACTATCAATCTGAAGTTGTTTTCTTGTTTTCTTGCCTCTGGTTCTTCCTTATAAAAGGAAAGCACGAAGATAAATGTCCAGTTAATTTGAGGGCTCTCATGAACTTGGATCTGCCCTGAGTGACTGGACTCCAGGTTCTGCATGGCAGTTTGAACCAGTCACTGATGCCTTCCCCACGGGCAGCCCAGACATTCCTTTGACCCATTTCCTGGCAATACGAAGTCTCAGCGATGGGGCTGTCTGTACAAGACACCCTGTATGGTCAGAGTCGCTCTCTTTACAGAAAACAGCTCGGCAGGGAAGAGGCGGGGACTTGAGACGAACAGGTCAGGAGCCGCGTCTCCAGTGCACACGTCCCAGGGCAGCAGAGGTTCTGCTTCCTGCCTGTGGGTAGCTGGTTTCGGGCCTGTCTGACTAGGGGTCGCCGGTTTCTGTCCCAGTGAAACAGCTCCCGGGCTCCTGTGGTGGGTTCCCGGGTCTCCCCGCTCTGCCTTATCGTGTTAGAGCCGCGCCTCCTGCAGGTCTCCTGAGCCCACTTTCAGCCTGGACTTGCATCCTTCCTGCCCCTCATTTCTGTTCTGTGGTTCCCCCAAGCCCTGATGACGGGCATCTGTGGACGGCCCAGTTCCTCTGTCTCCCTCTTTCTGACTGACAGCTCCTCTCCCGCTCAGGACTGGACGTGCTTGAACACAGCCACCTGGGGCTGTGCTCCCTGGACACGCAAAACTGCCCTCGGTTCCAGAGCCGAGTGCATCCTGTGGGACCTGCGTGCGTCTCAGGGACGTTGAGAGAAACCCAGACCCGGAGAGGCGGTGGGGATGGCCCTGGCCTGTGGGCAGTGACGTCCCCGCCGGGCATGACTGCAGGCTCCACTCATGCTTCTCCTAAGTGTATCTCTTCTCCCGCCTCAGGCCCTTCCTTCTTGTTTCCTCCATCAGCCCCTCATCAGAGTGAGTGCACACGGGCCATTGTAAGAGAAAGGCCTCTGCACCCGTGGGCCCGGGGGAGAGGGGTTGAAACACATCCTATTTTCCGACTTTTCTGACTGTCGCAGGTGAATCTCTCTCCCTACCTGTATCTCTAGCGATGTTTAGAAAGGTTCCCATATAGTGTGATTCCGTGTGGCCCAACGATAGGACAAGGATGAAGGTGCTGGAGGGTGAGGGCCCCCGTGTCGGCTGCCACCTGGGACAACCCCGCGGCTGGAATTCCACCAGCCTCCTGACCCACCCACGACCGACCATGCTGACGCTTCTCCCTCCTTCTCCCCTCTTCTCCACCAACCGAAAGCGACTCCAGGAACCCCTTCAAGCCCCACCTTGCTGGGAACCTTCACGGGACCCCAGTCCATTCTCACGCTCTCCCCTGAGCTCCTGGGCCATTCCTTTCTGCTCTGAAGGACGCAGCTTTACGGGATGCACTTTCTGGGTGGGTTTGATTTCGTTCCACAAGCTGAGCCTTGGTTCCTGCCCTTAGGGGCTCACGGTCTGTCAGGTGGCTGGGTCCAATCTAACAAGGGGTGCTGAGTGATACTCCAGGGCCCACCAGCCCTAGTGACAAGCCGCTGTCCCACTGAAGGGGCAGGGCAGACAAGGAGCTTCCAGACATGGGCTGGGGCAGCAGACACAGGCTCGGGCTACCACCTGCTCCCCCGGCCCAGGCCTGCAGTTCAGGCATCACTAGTCAATCTCCGCACTCTTTTCCATTGATCCCTGGCAACCTTCTAAGTTAGCTCAGGAGACGAAGTCTATTCACCAACCTCAGAGACGAGGGGCAGGTGGTACCTGAATGGATGACTCAAAGATGACTTCAAGGTTTGAGATCTAAGTTATCTGAAACCAGTCAACACAATCGAAGGGTGTCACCCTCAAAAGGAGGAGCGCGTGGAGGGGGACACAGTGCTGGGGGAAGGACGGTGAGATGAGTTTGGAGCATTGTGCACTTGAGGTCCCCAAGGGCAGACGCCCGCTGGGTGGCAAAGCTCCTGGCTGGGCTGATGGGGGACTGTCTGCAGAGGCGAGGAGGCTATGAGAACCCTGCTTCCCTCCAGGAGATCCAAGTCCCATTCCAGCCAGTGCTCTGGGGTCCTCGGGGCCTAGGGGTGCCTGCTGCAGGGCACGTGCTCGTTAAAGCTTATCGAATGGCTGAACGGACAGTTCAAGAGGGAGAAGGACACAAGCCAAGGCAGAGCGCTGGATGGCCGTGGGCTGCACCGACCACCAATCCCTCATGCTGTTTCTCCAGCTTCCAGGACGCCTCTCAGCCCACGAGCAACATTTAGACGTAAGATGATGAAGCACCAAGAACATCAATGGCACAGAAGGGGAGATTCCAGAGGGACACGTTTTCCTGGACGGTATCATGACCGGTTCCGCCCCAACAAGGAGCGGGTTTCCGTCTGGGGTCTTGTCTAAACCATCAGCCTCTCGAGGACAGAAATCACATGCTCCTGTCTTTGTGTCACAGAGCGAGCATGCTGGCTGTGAGCGCAGTCAGCTCGGCGTGAGCTTCCCCTGGCCCCCGGTCCCCCTCGCTGCTGAGGATGCAGTTCTAGCCCGTGCTCCCCCGCAACCCCCCACCCGGCAATCACGGTCAGGCTGTTTCAGAGCAGATGCTGGTTTTCCCGTTTAAAGGAGCAAACGGAGCACTTACTGTAATCGTCGATCTCGATTTTCCTGTATTCCACTTTAGGCATCTGCCGATCGTTTATGGCTTTCTGTACGTGTTCATTTGTTTCTAGGTCAAAAATTTCTGAAAGAGAGAAAAAAATGACACACTCAGATTCAGTAACCGCTTCTTGACGCCGTGAGTCTTCACGCGCCTCCTGTCACTAGCTCCTACGTCAGAGGAGAGGGCCACTGGTTCCACGGCTGGAACCAGAGCTGCACACATTAGATCATGCGCTCAGGTCCCAGCACGAGGGGAGAGTCGAGCTCAGGGCAGGGACTCCAGGCAGACGGCAGGTTCTTCCACTGTGTCCAGCGCCCCTGCCCCACCGCGATCCTCACTCCCCACGGCGTTTCTCCCTCTCCCACACACATGTTGCTTTAGGTGTGCTTGGTCTCAAGACTGCTGGTTTTGGAAGACCGACATTGTGCCTGTCAGGACAAGCGGTTTTACAAATGTAGTGGCCTCAAAAACACTACAGAAAGGAGAGCAGAAGCTGGAGCGTGACCGTTATTACGTTTCCCAGGAAAAGTGGTTGGGCTCAGGTTTCTTGCCTTAGTCATAGGGGGTCTGGCTTTGGGGACCTTGGTCTGGACAGGCACTCGAGCTGTTAGTGAAGCCACATGAGCCGCAGTGCAGGGGGGCTGGCCCATCTCCCTTGGAGTCTGAGAGGCGGCTCTACCCTGACCCGCACCGTAGACACACCAGCTCTGTGACCCTTAGGTTGTAACAGCTCAAAAGGCCTTGGCTGTGACCCTCTACCCCCATCAGCCCTCTTCACTGATCCCCCGCGGACGTGGCCCTTCTGTTACGTGTCAGACTTCCTCCGTGGGTAACAGAACCCACCCCACTTCTTTTCTCCCCTCTCACCTCAGTCCTACCTGGGGACAACTTGTGGTTCATTTGAAAGGAAGTTTTATCTTCAAGGGGCTCAACGTTTGGCTCCACAAGTCACTTTGAAACATTTGTGAACATTTTAAAGAATAAGCTAATCTCACAAGCATCCTCCGTGATAAGTGCCTTTGAGGACAGCGGGCCCTACACGGACGTGGGCGTCCACTCCACACAGGCTGGGCAGGTGAGTCATTGCTCATGACCAGGACCTCCAGCAATGAGTGTCTTTTCTGTGGAGCCATGAGGATGGCCTCTGAGCATGATAAGCAAACTTCTGCGGGGCAGAGGCAGCTCAAAGTTCCCAGGGCTGGTGACAAGCAAATAAACAAAAGAACTTCTACGGGGGCACAGGTAGCTCAAAGTTCCCAGGGCCGGTGACAAGCAAAGAAACAAAACAGAAGAACTTTTGCGGGGGCAGAGGCAGCTCAAAGTTCCCAGGGCTGGTGAAAAGCAAATAAACAAAACAGAAGATGTTTTTCAAGTTTGTTAAGCACGTATTTGGATACTCAGCTTTGGTGAAAAGGTGAGGGAAGAAATGGTGAAACTAACACTCAAACAGGTAGGGTTACAAAAAAATCTGAAGTGGGACCCCCGCCACATAGCATGCAAGAAATGCTGTCCTTTGTGGAAAGCCAGAAGGGACCCTCGACCTTGTGGTCACACATGCAAGTTCGGGAGGGGATGCCCGACGCTGGCATGGTGTGCCTGCCCTACTGCCCGCCCAAACTCCTAACAGAGCAGAGAGGGCACTCATTCCCTGAGTCCAAGTGCCCTCGGCCCTTTAACACAGCATCCCAGGCATACACAGTCTGTTGAGAGGAGTTGGTTTAGGAGATATCAACTATCTATTCCCCATGTTCTATCCACACTTATAGGGCAGGAAGATTAGAAGGGAGCTCCACAAGATAATGAAAAAGAATAGCATTCTTCAAGTTCTTTGCTGCCTCAGGGCCTTTGCACTTGCTGTCCTATGTTGCTGGCTCTTCCCCCTCCATCAAGTCAAACATCACCTCCTCAAAGAGAAGCCCTGACCCTTCACCTCAGGTACCCTTCTCCAGGTGCACTTAACACCAACTCTAGGAGATATGGTCATTTGCCTGGTTGACCCTATCCCATCCAAGGCATCAGTGTTCAGTCCCATCCCAGGGACAAAACACACTAGTTTCCAGGAACATTAATACATAGAGCTGTTTGTGGAAATCTGATTCATATTCCGGAAATGATGCATCTTCACAGTAGCCGAGTTTGGGTTTCGACCCAAGTCTTTCTTCCTTTTCCCACATGGAAAGGACTGAGATGAGAGGTCCTCCTCGGTGTTTCAGAAAGCCAGAAGGCTCTCAGAGGTTCCTGGCGCTCAGACCTCTTAGCAGTAAGAGCCGAAGCGATTGAGGCCTATTAACCACTGCTTCCCGCACAAAGCAAAAAAACCCCCCAAACTGAAGCACATTTTTATTCAATTGATTGAAAAGTTGACAGTGCTTGAAGGACTAATGGTACACCCAAGTTAGTATTTAGTTAATTCTGGGAATTGAGGAAATGCATCGAGGCAACCCAAACCCAAGCTTGGCGTAGGAGCTGAAGCACAGACCTTACAGTGTTTTCTGGAAGCCTCAGCCCTCTGGACCGCGACCTGGACCTCTCTGCCTGCCTATGAGATAAGCCCCGGTGGAGACAGGTGAGGGACTCGGGGTGTGCGAATGTGGGTCAGACCAGAGAAACGGACACTCGTGAGGATGAGGGAGTCGTCAGGAGCCCAGGAAGAATGTCTTCAGGGTCAGGAGCAAGGCTGGGTCCTTTGCTGTCAGAGAAGCAGCACCGAGCTTCTGCTTCTGGGGGATGGACAAGGCTCCAGCGGGGGCCGACCTGGATGATCAAACTTCACAACGAAGAGACCTGGTGCAGCCTCTCAAGGTCTGTTATAACCTTCTCTCCGCGAGTCTGCATCGGGATTTGATATTTCTGACACCAGATGAGCCTGAAGGAGAAGCTTCGGGCTCAGGCTTGATGTGCTGCTTTGCAGCCTACAAGCTCGGCTTGCGTGGAATTAACGAGAACACAGACTTGCCAGCGAAGCACTGCGTTCCCTGTCCCTGGATCCGGGAGCCGCGGCTTCGTGCGGGAGCCCACGGCGTTCTAACCGCACACGGCATTCTAACCGCACACGGTCGTCCTAACCGCACACGGCGTCCTAACCGCACACGGTCGTCCTAACCGCACACGGCGTCCTGACCGCACACGGCGTTCTGACCGCACACGGCGTTCTGACCGCACACTGTCATCCTGACCGCACACGGTCGTCCTGACCGCACACGGCGTCCTAACCGCACACGGCGTCCTAACCGCACACGGCGTTCTAACCGCACACGGTCGTCCTAACCGCACACGGCGTCCTGACCGCACACGGCGTCCTGACCGCACACGGCGTCCTGACCGCACACGGTCGTCCTGACCGCACACGGCCTCCACAGGACTAGCTAGTCCCTCTGTACTGAAATGCCACCCTTCACAGAAAGGCGCCAAAGCAACAGACTATTAAATTTAGTTAAGTATTAGATTCCTCGTTTAGTGATTGCCCACACAGCTGGTTTTACCAGCAGAGAGCTGGCTGTCCCACAAGGGAGCTGAGTTAAGCCATTTTATTTGTTCCCATAATTGCATTCAGAGAGGGCAGAAGCACGGCAGAGGAAATAAGAAAAGACCGGCCTCTTCCCGAAGGGTTCTTCTTTTGACACCGGGGCCGTGGGGACCTGCAGTCTGAAGCATGCAAACGGCCACTCCTCAGTCAGACGTGAGCCCGTCTCCTGTCCGGTGGAATCAGCCATTACCAGATCTGGGCGCATGGAGCCTGCAAGAGCCAGGACAGCTGATGACGGCTGCTCCCCGGCTGTGCCCCAGCGGGCAGCCGCCGAGCAGTGGTGACCGCGGCCACTCTGAGACTCTGCTGGCTCTGGGCCTTGGAGGAATTGCCACCTGGCCGGATTGGGGACACGAATGACCAGAATCAACTGGAAGCCAATGAGCAGCCGAGCCAGAGGAGAGAAGAGCCGCCCGCCCCTCTCTCGTGTTTCTGAGGGGAGCGGGAGAGCGGGGACTGCATGCAGATTGCAGATTACTCGAGTCTGGCTGCCCGCCAGGTTCTTCTGAGCCCTTCCCGGCATGTTTCGGACAGCTTCCTCTTGTGCACCTGTCCCGGCAGCATCAGGGCCCCGTCCTCCCTGCTCAGTGGCTGCAGCATCGCAGACGCAGCCTGCCCACCCCGGGGCTGCACGGCTCAGACTGGACCCCGGCCTGAGACTGGCACGGATGCCCTCCAGACCCCCATCTCACCTGGAGACTGTGTTCTCCAGCTCCCAACGTCCAGTTGTTAAGCCACACAGTTTGGGTGGTAATTGTTCTCTTTGCCGTGTCTCTCTTTCTCTCCAGCCAGATTCTAAGCAACCTGGAAGCAGGGTGATGTAAGTGCATTTGTGGTGTGGGCACCGTGCTGGCAGGCGGGTGGGCTTGGTGAGAGGGGCCGTGCGTGGCTCCCACCCCATCAACTACATCCCAACTCAGGAAAGGGCACAGAGCCGTGGACCTGCCGGCCCTCCAGCGTCCCAGGGACGCCGAGGCAGGTGTCCTGAGGGGCAGAAGGTGCCATGTGCTTTGCTCACTCCGCACTCTGTTAGCCAAACACCAGCTCGCCCCCAAACCTGCCGTGTTTTGGCCTAGAGCGAGCCGTCTGTAAACCCAATCGTCACCTGTCCCTCCAGAAGGGCTGCCAGTGTGTGTGTGTGTGTGTGTGTGTGTGTGTGTGTGTGTGGCTGGGGGGAGCGGCGGACCCGGAGGACTTTCCAGACACAGCTGAGGCCTTGACCGAGACGGGCACACGCTGGCTGGCACCTCCTGGCATCCCCCCATCCTACCTGCTTGCCACGTGCCTGACAGCACAGGTGACATCCCCTGGGTGGGCCCTCGGAGGAAGATGGCAGGGGGGTCTCCCAGGCAGAGAGAACCGAGTGAGAAAGGGGACAGACACCAAACAGCCTGTGTCTGGGACAATCTCAAAGAATAACGCCTATGATTCCAGCCGGCCGTGCGAGTTGGTTTTGCTTCTGTGTAAAAACCCGACCGAAGGGAGTGGGAAGGAGAGGCCCTGTCTAGGAGTTCTGGTGAAGGAGGCACACCGGGCGCCCCGGTAACTTGGGGTC